AAAAAAAAAAAAAAAAAAAAAAAATTCAATTCTAACATACAAATGAAAAAATAACACAGGCAAGGACATATGATACACTGCAAACTTCTGGGGATTTCAGCTAAGTTACTTAATCTTTTTTTTTTTTTTGGTACCTTATGCTTGCTTGCAAGACAGGCAGCAGCACCACTGAGCTAAATCCCCGGCCCTAAATTACTTAATCTTAATCCATGTGGTTATACATAATTTGTACATAATCACACGAGGGTTTTCTCAGAGCCAATTAAGACTTTATAGAAGTGATATATTTATAGTAGTGATATAAAGATGTAAGTTGTCATTTGATTTAGCTCTGATATATCTATCTTTGATTTTACAGAAAGTGTATACTTTAGGACAGGTAATAAATATTTGTTGGTTAACTGACCAAAACTTGAACTATTCCAGCATTTGAGAGGCTGAGGCAGGAGTACTGCTGCGAGTTTAGAGGCCAATCTACACTACAAAGCAAGACCCTATCTCAAAAACAAAACAAAACAATAAAATTTCAAAACACAACCGATAATAGGGCACAGCCCATCAAATGCCTTAATTAATTAATTAATTAATTAGTTTATTTATTTATTTTTGGGGTACCGGGGATTGAACAGTTCCTTGCACTTGGGAGGCAGGCCGCGGAAGCACTGAGCTAAATCCCCGGCCCTAGGCCTTATTTTAACTACATACAAAATCATTAGAAACTGCAGCCAACATTCTGCAGGTGGTCTCAGTGCCGACATGTGTGTCCTCTGTACCAGCCCGGTACAGGAAGACACGCAGCTCATAACCCACGCTAAGAACTGCTCATCAAGCTCTCGGGACAGCGTTGGCCAGCGTCTTCTACCGAACCTGCAGCTGAACACCAACACTGCTAGTATGTCGAAGCCTCACATTTTCCACGGTCCCAAATTTCTAACAGAAGTATGAAATTTTTGCAGGATATAAACTATTTAAAATGAGGAATACTTCATTTTAAAAAACTGCTAGGTGATGAATAACATAAACCATCATTATTACCTTTCTGAGGGCTGTGAATTTCACTCAATAACAGACAGGTTTCTGTATCTGGGGGTTTTCACCATTCCCTAAAGTACAGCTTTTTATTACCTCTCAATACAAGATGACTTACATTTCATTTCATCAAGAAGCTGTTTGCTGGCTTCAAATAAACTTCTGTACATAATAATAGACTTAGATAACTCATCCTTTTCTTTTGTAAGTGCTGCCATTTGTTGCTGCTTCTTAACATCTATGATAAAAAAAATCACAATAAAAAATTCAGACAATTTACGCAATTCAGAAATTGTGATTTTTTTTTCCAAAATACATCATGACACGATGCTGACACGAGGCAGGGTAAAGCCATCCACAGTATTACTGACAACAGTGTTTAATCCTCTATATCCTAGAAACTCACCATTGTAAAACATGAATGGTAGGATATACGGTTCCAACGTTTCTGACAAACGTGGTAGCCGGGGCTCAAAAATAATAAGATATTCAGTACTATCTTTTCCAGGACTATTTTCTGCCAGCACCAGACTCTGTACAAATACAAAAGCAGGAGGGGAAAGAAAAAAACAGATTTAAAAAAGAAAACTTTCAGGGCTATATTTCTCACCATTCTGCCTTCAAACAAGTGGTGAAATTTCGAAGCAAAGGGTATTAAATAAGATATTAAATCATCACCACCACCACCCAAGACACAAAACACTTTACCCTTTTGATACTGATTTGAAAGCTGAAAGATCCTATCTATACAACTTATGCAAAAAAAGACATAATAGAAAATGAGAAGTATATTTTCCGTCATACCAGATATATCAATAGCCACTTAAGATCTTGTACTGCAAACTCTTGATTTTAACCTTTAAGTCGAAGCAGTGTGACATAATGACTGGTGTGAAAGTTCCAAAAATAATCACAAAGAAATGCCCAAAGCCCAATGCGGAGTTTAAGTTACAGTGGTTACCATGGAAACAGGCCCACCAGTCCCAGGTGAAAGAACAAGAGGTCCTCAAAAGCTCTGAAGATTTGACCTTTAAAATTTTATTTTCATTAACGCACAAAACTTCCTAACGTACTTTAGCTTAAGACTACAGTGTATAACTAGTAAGTGCTGAAATAAAAGTTATCTTATTCCCAATATTTTTCACTGTTCTACAGAAAACAAGAAATATTAACTACTTTGGTATGTAGATAATAACATATAGGTAGAAAGGTAAAATTTAAAAACACATCTTGATAGAACAGTGTAGATCCATCTGTGACATAGAGAACATAAAGTCCACTAATAAGCAATTCCCCCGTCCTATTCAGGTTTTGGAAGCTGTTTTTAAAAGATATTAAACAAAAACGTAAACATTTATTTTCCAGTAACCCCAAAAAAGTTTCTATTAAAAACCACACACCCAGGCCGGGGATTTAGCTCAGTGGTTCCCCTGCCTGCCTTGCAAGCAGAAGGACCCGAGCTGGATTCCTGGTACAAAAAAACAACAACAACAACAACAACAACAACAAAAATCTGCTTTCAGCACCAAATCTGATTTGTTGTCAATTCATAAAACGTACAGTTACCAACTTAATCTCTTATACAGCAAACAGCAGATTACTGAATGCTTCTTTGTAAATACATTTTCTAGGATGACAATGAGAAACAAAATGACTAGTTATAATAGTTTATAAAGTATCAAATTCCCCTTTATTAGGGAAACAGATAATGAATCCCTAGGTACCCAATATCAAAAATTATCAACACTTTTAATTGTGCTTTAGATTTGTTTATGATGCACAGTTTAACTTTACATGTAGTGAAACGTAATTTTTTGTCTTGGTTACAGTAGCTCTCATATCTTAAACTTTTATAGTTTGTAATCCTCAATGGACAACTATTAAAAAAAGGATAAGGTCAGGGACTTAGCTCAGTGGTTCTGCTACCTACCTTGCAAATGCAAGGACCTGAGTTCAATCTCTGGTACCACAAAGAAAAAAGAAAAAGAAAAACTAACTATACTTTGGGCCTGGGATTTAGCTCAGTGGTTCCACCACCTGCCTTGCAAGCACAAGGACCCAAGTTCAATTCCCAGTATCAAAACAAACAAATAAAATAGAGGATATACAGTATAACAGAAACAAAGGAAAATGAGTCCAAAACTGGATCCAAGTATAACAGAAATTTGGCACACATGAAATGGACAAATGCTTATCAGAATGAAGCTGAGACACTTGGCAGAAATTTCCAGATCAAGGAGGCAAATAATACAGAGAATCTGAAATCTGAATAATACAATTAACAAACTTGAATAACTCCAAGGTTACATCACAACCGGAAAGAAAACAAAACATATTCCTTTTAGGCAAGTGTGGTATACTTATAAATACAAATTATTTTCTAGGTCAATGTTTCCTGAACTTCCCTTAAAAAGATCTATTACCTGCTGGGCTGGGTTTATATAGGTAATGGAGGCCCCAGGTTCAATCCCCAGTGCAAAACAAAAACACCAGTTTGTTAAGATCCAGACTGCAGAACCTGGCTCCACATATACTAAATTAATACGTGACCACAACAAAAAAACAAAGTAAAAAACACACGACACACACCCCACATCCACACTCACTATTCAGGAGCCAAGGAGGAACTGAGAATTTTGTCTGCTCAGAGCTATCAAGGACCTCCAGAGGGGAGAGGAAACGCGTGGGCATGACACAAAGCAGATGCTGGGAAGTGCCACATCCCTACGCATTAAATTCAAGTGTATACCATCAGGGGGAAGGCTAAGGGGTAAGAGTACTAGTAGTAGCACTGCAAATATAATCTGCTTCCTCCCTAACAGACAAAGGTGAAAACCTAAACATCTAAACATCAAATTCAAGAAAAAGTACTTGTGTACCAAAGAGAAGACTCTGTCTCCAACCAACTGTGCCTCAGCAATGTCCTAAAAAAATCCACGTGTTAAAAAAAAAAAAAAAAATCTATCTAGCTATCTAGCTAGCTAGTAGAAAAAAAGGTGATGGAAAGTTGATTGAAAAATTCTAGAAAGAAACTAAATTTAAAATAAAATAAAATAAAAATTTTTTGAGACACAGTCTCACTATGCAGTTCAGGCTGACCTCGAACTCACTTGTGATCTTCCTGCCTCAGACTCCTACGTGCTGGGATGACAGGGGTGTAGCACCACCACACCTGGCTTAAGAAACTATATTTCTGGGTTGGGGATTTAGCTCAGTGGTTCTGGCACAAGTCTCACAAAGCACAAGGTACCAAAAAAAAAAAAAAAAAAAAAAAAAAAAAAAAAAAAAAAAAAAAAAAAAAAAAAAAAAAAAAAAAAAAAAAAAAGAAAGAAAGAAACTAAATTTTTACCAAAGATATGAACTGCTCATCACTGCTATCTCTGAGGGATGAGTACATCATGATTTTTTAAGGAGGTTCTTACATTGTATATTTTTTGATACAATAAAATTTTCAAATTTTAGAAAATAAGAAAGTCTGTTTAAGGTTTGCTTGGCCTACTTTTAATTCTGTCTGTACAATGGCAGGCAGCTTTACAACAGGACAAGAAGGACCAAAGTGAACTGCTCATCACTGCTATCTCTGAGGGATGAGTACATCATGATTTTTTAAGGAGGTTCTTACATTGTATATTTTTTGATACAATAAAATTTTCAAATTTTAGAAAATAAGAAAGTCTGTTTAAGGTTTGCTTGGCCTACTTTTAATTCTGTCTGTACAATGGCAGGCAGCTTTACAACAGGACAAGAAGGACCAAAGGTACAGCCAGGAGGCAGAGCGCCTGCCTCGCAAGCAAGGCCCGGGTCCCACCTCTCACACCGTAATGCAGAAGCCCGACCTGAAGCACACACTGACCACACAATGAAATGTGAGCATTAAACTGCCACTAGGACCTAAAAATAAAAATTACTACAAACACAGAGAGCGACTTGTTATCGATAAAAACGATTCTGGGTTCAATGTGTAATGGCTTAGAGCAAAATCAGAACAGGTACCTAAATATGCTGGCTTACAATATTAAGTACAGAAATCTTAACAAAATGTTTTAAAAATTTACCGTGATTTCAGCTGAACCATTTACGAAGGGAAATTCCAGTGTTTTAACTTTCCCAATAAAGAGTGGCGTGTCCGTGTCTTCCTCCTTAAAATCTTTGATGGTAGCTACCATGGTGCCAACCAAGTCTATTCCTGTATGATTGCCATATGCGTCCTTAAAATGAATAGAGAGTAACTAGGTAGAAGAGCTGGTTAGAAGACTCAACACAGAGAAGGGTGTGTACAATCAGAAATAAGACACATGCAGATAGAAGCCCACAATTAAATTATCTTGAGTCTTCTTAACCTAGGCACAGAATTCAGCTCTAAGTTTTAGTATTATCAGGCAGAAAATAGTCCCAGATACCATAAAGCAATCAGAGATCTCCGTCTAATATAATGTTTCCTGACTTTCTAAATTACAGTGACTCCCATTTTAAAATACATTTTGCACTTTAGTGTCTGCTGCCGTGAAAAAGGTCTTGGGCACTTAAAGTGCCTGTGTGCAATGTCTACACTCTTCCAGCAGCCTGTGGTGTGCAGAGATCTGAAGACCCTCACAGTACGTCTGTGGCACTGCTTACCCGAGACGTTTGGGAGAAGTTAAGAACAACAAAAGGTGTCAGTCCTGCACAAACCCACTTTCCTAGTCTCTCAGCACTGGGGTCCTGCCCAGGCCTCACTACTCTCTGCATGCTCTTGTTAAAGTCTTGGCAGCTCTACTGCTGTTTCCCTCCAGGTAATTAGTGGCTGCGAGGGCAGGGTTTCCTCCTTCCTTAACTGTTATCAGTCATCAGAGCAGATCTGTTTATCCCTTCCCTAGTAAAGTGAACACTGATAAGTCCATAAAGTTCACACCACAGTGGTAATGCAGATGTGAAATAGAGTGAAGGTGTGTTAGGACAGGGAGGCAGATTTCCACATTTGGAATCAGTTCTTAGTATATCTGGATTTATCTAACGTATAATTTTACGCATTCTTTATATCCAAACACAAAGGTTTTTATAAGTATTTAATTCATCGGCACATTTTCCCGGTAAGCTTAAATTGAATAGTCATTCTGGCTCTACAATAACCATCTTGCACCTAAACATCAAGGACTAATTTTCTTGTTTCTCTTTGCAGTTTTGGATGACAGACATTACCGTGATATTGAGACGTAAATCTCTGACCAAGGTCCTACTGGCAATTGAGCGAACATTAGAAACAGCTGGGGTAGCGGGTTGAATTTCAGGAACTAACTTCACAGGCTGATTAGGTAGAACATCAACTATAACCTTACAAAACAAAAGCAGCAGCTAGTTAACAATTTATTATGTTAATATTAATACTTGACTATTAATATTTAAGAAATGACAGCATATATTAAAGTTAAAGTTTGCCTTCTAAAATTTATTTCCCGTTAATTTCCTGTTACGTTCCTTTACTTGTTTTTACACTCCCCTCATCACACTGTTTTCCGGTGTTAATCCCTTTACTTGTCCCTTTTGTTTAACCCAGCTGGCCTGGTGGGGGGCTTCCCCTCTGGGCTCTTCTGTGGTGCCCAGCCGGTGGCCCCCTGTCTGCCTAGAGTCCCGGAGCACCATCTGCAATGCTGATTTAGAGCACTTGGACCCCCCCAACTTCTTTGTCATGGAAAGTCTCCCCCGTCTCAGTCAATTCGGAGGGGTAATTTTGAAGAACACAGAAGTCTGGTTGACAATTGTTTTCTTTTAGAGCTTGAAAAACTTTATTCCAAACTCTCCCGTCCAGTTGGGTTTGTGCTGAGAAATGCTGTTATTCTGATAGGCCACCTTTGTAGGCTGTTTTCCTGTAACAGCTTTTAGCATTCTGGAAAATTCTGGGAATTCTGGAGAGGTTCTTTTGTGGTTGTGGCTATTTGGGGGTTCTATATGCCTCTTGTATTTGAATATTGAGTTCTTTCCCTCTACTGGAAAAATGTTCTGCTAGGATTTCAGTGAACAAACTTGTACCTTTTGAGCCACCTTCTAATTTTTCCTTTATTCTTGTAATTCTGAGGTTGGTTTTTTGAGTTACCTGGCAGCTGTTGGATCCAGCTTGCAGGGCGCCTTGTCGGATTTAGGGTCCCACTGACTTTACGATCTATCCACACTGCCTTCAATATCGGACACTTGTTATTTAAAAAAAAAAGTTTGGATCCAGGATTTAGCGCAGTGGGTGCTGCTTCCTGCCTCCCAAGCGCAAGGTCCTGAGTTTGATGGGGGTGAAGGTGGGGGCACAAACGGGGACCCAAAGAAAAATTATTTGTGGTACCGGAGATTCAACTCCATACCTTGCACTTGCAAGGCAGGCAGAGGCCACGGAGCTAAATCCCCAGTCCAATTGCTGACACTCTGTCCTCACACTGGTGAGATCTGCTACCCATGCTTTCTACTGAGTTTTTTGTATCTTGTATATCTGCTTGTCTTTTTTTCCCTATAGTTTCTAATTCTTTACCAAAATAATCATTTATGTCTTTTATTTTCTTACTTAGTTCAATTAATGTTTCTTAAGGACCTGAACATTTTAGTAAAACCCTTTTTCTGCTTAAACAGTCTTCAAGCTCACAAAACAGCTTATGAATTTTTGTGTTTCTTCCTTGATCTCTTCAAACATAGTGACCACTTGGTTTTGGAGTTCTTTGCCGGTAACTTGCTCTACTTCAGTGTCTGAGAGATCAGCTTTTGGGGAGTTAGGGGTTTTGGAGGAATCTTAATGCTTTGCTCTCTCATATTTGCTTGTATTGTTTTTGTGCTGCAGGTTGAGGATCAGTTAGGGTGGGAAAAACTCTGTAACTACCTTGGGGATCTCTTCAGTTAGTTGGATTCTGTCTCCCTGGGTTGGGCTAAACTCTGGTTTTTACGCCCCTCTGCAATCTATTCAGTGCAATATTTGTGTTCAGCCTTCTTCTGGGAGCTGAATCCCAAGCACCACCAAGACAGGACAAAACGAACCATAATCATGCTGATGACACAGAGACAAACCAGATACTGGCAGACAATAAAAACCAACTGAAAGCAACAACGCCACCAGTAAGCACAGACATCAGCAGTGATAGGAGTAAAAAATGAACTGGTATTGACATACTGGCAGAACCAAAAAAGTTAACATTACACCACCCTTAGCAACAGAAGAGATCTGCAATAGTAATGCAGACAACCAAATGTTGATACACAGTATCTATAAAAACTCACAACTATACCACCATTAACAGAAAATAATCCAGCCATAATGGCACAGTCAACTAAATAGCTAAAAAAGAAGCTTAATAGTAACAATAAAAATGAAGCAGGTGGGAAAAGGGAAAAAAATGAAAAGTAAAATTTGAAAAATGAAGAAAAAGATGTGAGAAAATTACAAAAATAAGGAATAAAACAAAGCGAAATAAAGGCAAAAAAAAAAAAGACACCCCCATACCAAACAGAAAGACAAATGAGTCCAAACTCCTCTTCCATGTGTTTGGGTGAGGCAGCTTTCTTGGGCCTGTGGTGCTGGGACCATCAGATGTGGTGGAGGGGCCATGCTGTGGTTTCTCCCTCGATGCCCACCGAAGCCCGGACAGTGTCACCACGGAGCCGGTCTGATCTCCCCTGGCTCTGCTTCCCCGCTGCCTGCCGGGCCCTCCTTTGTGCCTCTGCACCACCCTGCACCGAAACCTCTCCAAACTGAGTCAAAAAAAACCTCTCTTCCTTAAGTTGAGGGCGACAGGTGTTCTGTCACGGTCACGGCGAGGAGGGTAGGAACTGAAAACACAGCGAGCCATCAAGGACCTCATTTGCTTTCTTGGACTGTCTTTCCTCCTGAGCGTGGTCAGTCAGTGGCTCGGTGCCTGCCTCGGGCTGTGTCACTCCAGTGGCTTTCGTGTCTGTGCCCTTCTGGGCACCCATCACTGCTCTCTGCCCACCCTGAGGTGTGCCCTGGCTTAGTGGACACAGATGCCCCTCCTTGGGGGTTGGGGTTAGGGTTCCAGATGGCTTCATCAAGACGGACTAATCACTGAACATAAATACACTCTATTGAATGTTCCTGAAAAATAACATCGTAACTATCTCTCTACAATTTTGCTTTCAGTAATTTCAGTTACCTGCCATCAATCAGACTGAAAATATTAAATGGAAAATTCCAGAAGTAAACAATTCCTAAGTTTTAAAATAACTACATCAGTATATAATAGTGTTATAATTATTCTATCATATTACTATGAATCTAGTATAGCTGGCTTATAAATTAAACTTTATCATGGGAATATACACATAGGAAAAACACAGTACAGATAATATTGAGTGTTATTTTTGGCTTCAAGCATCCACTGGGGGGCCTGGTATGTGTCGCCCATGAATAACAGGAGATTTATAACAGGTATTTATACTTAATCAGTTAACTTTTAAATAAATACTTCATTAAGAAACTAATGAGAAAATGTCAAGTTAACCATTTCATATAATAAAAGCAAGCAAACCTGTTCACTGTTGAGAATATTTGCTTTATCCATCATAAAACCAAACTGGATACAGTATGTCCCCACTTTGTTAGGAATTATTTTATCCCTAAAAGAAAAAGAGGTAAGATTACTGACAATTTTTAAGTAAAAGGGAAACCGAGAGCATCAACATTTCATTTCACAACCAATAAATGAATACTTACTAATACTATGCTCACTTCCACTTATTTAACAAACATTTCTTATATGCTGGGTTCAATTCCAAGTCTTCCTTACCTGTTTATTCTTTCACAAAAGATCTTGATACATTAAAAATGGAAATAGCAATATCAAGTTGAGAAAACACTAAACACAAAATATGAATTAAAAGTCAAGTGAATTTTGCTTCATTATAATTTTATCTTTTTATTTTTGAAAAAGAATCTTGCTCTGTAATTGGGGCTGGCCTTGAACTGTGCAGCCCAGGCTGGCCTCAAACTTGTGGAGATCCTCCTGCCTCAGCCTTCCAAGTGCTGAGATTACAGGTATGCACCACCACACCCAGCTGTCACATTACCAAATTTCACACAGATGGCTTCATACTTCAAAATTTAGGCCTTTCTGTTGATTTTCTATTGAGTCATTCACTATTCTAAATTATCAAGTTATTTATTATGATTTAATTATCAGTAAGAAACTAATACCTAATGAGAGGTACACTCGCTAAACTGCTTTGGTTATACTTTACTACAATGAAAATACGAACGGTCTTACAGTAAAACCTAAGACTTCTGCTTCAAATGGCAGACCAACTCCTCCTGATGAAAACAGCCATGAAAAAAGTTTTGCTTAAAGATGTTGAAGAGCTAAATAAAGTAAGTAACTCAATCCAATTTAACAGGCTAGGACAGAGGCCGGGAAATGAGTTTCACATCGAAGGCTGCTGTCTTCCTCGGAGCCAGTTCTAGGCGTACAGGTAGACCCAAGGCAGACAGCGCCCAAGGCCATGCAAGTCAGCTTTATATCATCCCTGACAACTGATGAAGGCAAAGGTATATCCTCTCTGGGAAAGGATCATTACACCTTAGACGTGCAATTATTTCTACAGATATTAAGAAGTGAGATACTCTAGCCACTAATATTCAATACATATAAAATGGGGAGGGGGTTAAGGACTGTTCCAGCTTCCTGATGTTTTTCTTTTTTCACTTCTGGAGAAAACAAAATATTTTGTGGTAGAAAAGCTAATGGGCATTTTAGCACCACGTTGGGTTTTTTTTTTCTAAGATTGGATAAAGTTAAACTCAAACACAAAAAAAGAAAGAAAGAAAATGCCTGGTACAACAACAAAATGATCAATTACACAAAGAGGCAAGAGAACGAGACTGAAAACCAACACACAAGATGATGAAAGCAGAGAGACTTAAGGGAACTCTAAATAGACTTTTACTACTTAACGTTGGTAAGAAAGAGACAAGACTGAAATTTCAACAGAGAAGTGGACATTTAAAAATACAGTAAAAGTGGGGTGGGGATTTAGCTCAGTGGTTCCGTCCGCCACCTGCCTCACAAGCAAGTGCAAGGTCCTGAGTTCAATCCCCAGTACTGGGGGGAAAAAAACAATGAAAGTAAGCCAAGGTACTGGTGTGAACCACAGTTCAGATCCTCAGGAGCTGAGCTGGGAGGACTGTTTTCCTCCAGATTCCCTAGGCAACAAAGCAAGACCGCAGCTCAAAACCCAAAAGCTAAATGTAAGTACCACAACCAACACTGCCAAAGAAACCGCCAACTCAAAGATGGATCCTCAGCGTATGAAGTACTTTACCGACACTAGTTTAAACAAGTACTAAAGAGAAATGATGTTAAAGAGAAGAGGGTGAGAGACAGAACAGACTGTGGAAAGGACTAACACAGGCGCGATTCGGAGCGCCAGGAGAAGAGGGAAGGCTTGACGGGAGGCGCGCACAATGAGATAACGGCTGACCACTGCTCAAAACTGAAGAAAATACAACCAAAGTCTGGAGACCAGGCAGTGCACAAAAGGAGACACACACAGGCAAACTGCAGTGACCCTGCTGGCAACAAAACCCACATAACCAAATATGTAGAGAGGGAAAATGACTTCAAGAAAACAAGCCTGACAGCTAACTTCTCAGGCGAATGATGGGATGGATCAGTGAAGGCTGGCTTCTGAGTACTGCAAGAAAATGCCAGCCAAAAATACAGTCAGCCAGGTATGGTGCTGCACAGCTGCAACCCCAGCACCCTGGGAAGCTAAAGCAGGAAGATTCAAGTTTTCCCTGCCCGGGCAACTTAGTGAGATACCATCTCAAAATCAAAGACAAAAAGGGCTGGGAAAGCAGCTCAGTGTGAAGGCTCTGTGTTCAATACCCAGTACCATAAAACAACATAGTAACAAAGTCAATGAAAATATCCTTAAGTATAAAGGTAAAGAAATGTTCAGGCAAAAATAACAAGGAGTCCCTTTATCATCAGAACAAAGAAACTTCTTTAAATGAACAGTTATCCCAAATGAAAATGCTGAATTTAACAGGAAAGATAAAATGACTAAATATAAATGAACATTATGTATAATAATAATAGTAACTAATACCTCTCTAGGTTTAACATGCGTAACAAAAAAGGAATGCAAATTGTGAGAGGAAAATTGAAATTAGGTGTTCTGAGGTCCATGCACTGCTCAGGAAGAGAAAATACACAAACTATTACTAGACAGAAAGATGTAAAACGTGTGCATTATGACCTAAGGAAATCATTTAAAGCAAAGTGAAAAGCTGTAATTAGCAATTTCCTAAGGAACAGAAAATGACAATTAGAAACATAAGAAAGAGGGAAAGCAGGAAAAAAGTTCAAAAGGATTTTTAAAAATAGATTAAAAAAGACTAAAACAGATTAAGATATTAAAACAGATTCTTAAAAAAACCCAGCAGAAAGTAGTTCTGAAAACAATGTTTGGTGGCCAAGAAAGATTTACCCTTTTTAATTCATAGATAAAGTCCGGGCTGGACATGGTGCACAACCAACCCCAGCTACTGCAGGGGTGGAGGCAGGACAGTCAGACTGCAGGCCAGCTGGGGCACCCTCGTGGGATCCGTCTCCAAATAAAATGTAAGAAAGGGCTGGGGGGGCGGGTGGCGGACACCTGCAATCCCAGCACTGAGCGGCTGAGGTGGGAGGATAGCAAGTTTAAGATACTTAATGAGGAGGGCTGGGAGGTCGCTCAGGGCCAGGCCCAGGGCTCCACCCTCAGTAGGGAAGATAAAGGAGAGAAGGGTGCACTCAGGCGCCATGGCTTCAGCTCCCAGTACCCTCCCCAAGACACGAGAGGAATTACCACAGGAAAATTTCCATCAGGCCACGTACAAGGACGGAAAAAAGGGTTATTCCACAACGTTAACCCCCAAGATTTCTAGGCTGGTTTGTGCACATTTGATGTGGTCGGCTGCTATATGGTTATCAAAGCGGACTATATGGCTAAAAAAAAAAGCATTACTAGAGAGAAAGAGGAGCACTCCATCCTGACAAGATTTAATCTGGTAGGAAAACGTTATAATAGCTTGTTATGTACCCAATAACAAAGACTCAACATATTTAAAATGAATGCTGTAGAAGATGCAAAACAGACAAATACACATTCACACTGCAAGATTCTCCACACTACTAGATGCAGATAAAAAGAATCAGTGGATTCGGAGAAGCTAAACAAAAATGATTAGAAAATGCATCGTGATGCACACAAAGAACGCTGTACCTCAAATACAGAACACAGAACATTTCCAAGTACATGTGGAACACATACAAAAGCAGCCCACACGCACACCGCAGAAGCCCAGGCGGGCTGATGTGAAAGGGTTCACAGCACACACCCATGCTTAGCTGTGCCGCGCGTCTGGCCCGGCCGTTTCACATCTACGTGGGCATCTACGTTAGAGCAGTGGGGCGAGCCTTTCCGAGCTTTCAATGGTAACAAACAGCCAACTGCGGCACGCGTGCCACTTGTGTGAGACTACTATTAAGAGCAGTAACATAACAGACTGGCTGACTTATTGACAGACTTCCTCTCTCTCTGTCTCTTTAGACAGGTCTCACTATGTAGTTCATGCTGGCCTTGAACTCACTTTGCAGCCCAGGCTGGCCTTGAATTTGCAGTTATCCTCCTGCCTCATTACAGGTGTGCACCACCACGCCCGGCCACAAGAAACCTGATTTATAACAATCTCAAACTCAAAATGCTATACATGGTCATTAACAGAATGCATAACTGCAATGCGTTTACACCACCGACTTATCCAGCTATAAAAGTGAGATATGAGAGAACTTCCAACTATATTAATGTAAAACAAATTAATCTCACAATGCTGAGTTTAAAAATTCATATGGAGAAGGATATTTAGAACACAAGAACAGGCACAACCAGACACTAGGCCGGAGCAAGCGGCTGTGTGTGCAGTGAAGGCTGCGGTGCAGAGGAAGAGCGGCAGCAGAGGCCCAGGCGGAGGCTGCCTGGGTGCCAGCTTTGTGCCGACCTCAGCGGCGGGCGCACCCACCTGCAGTATGGGCACAGTCACAGTGCTGCAGATCTGGGGCTTTTTTCCTGCACTTCTTGGGTTTTGTATTTTATTTTTCAAAAGTTAAAAAATTGAGTGAGATTATATATTAAACCCCAAACATAGTGATTAATACGTTAGCAATCAAGACTGTCATTCAAACATACCCCAAATGTTCCTATATTTTATGGCATGACATGTGTAACTGCGTATATGTGCTCATTTCTCATTTGTTTTTTTAAACTGAGTCACATAACACAAAACTGACCATTTTAACGAGTAGAATTTACTGGCACTTACATAATCGCCATGTCTGTTTAATCCTTAAATATTAAAAGTTTCTTTCAAACTGATCTCTGGAATGGTAAAGTAAGATTTACCTGAAATATAGTATTTTGGGGTATAATAAACAGCCCAATTGTCACACAGGTTAGTAGACTTCATACACTGAAAGACAACTAACAGACTGAAAAGATGGCAATCTGCCTTCTCTAGAAAGTCTGTACAGCCCCTTACAATGATCTGAACATACTAAAATATTGGTTGATGAACAGGGTTGGTCTGAACATTTTGCTACTGGTCTATCATAGAAAACAACAATACTTTCCAAGCCTTCTAACATTCAGTGTTTTGCTTTGTTTTTTGGTCTTTTTTTTTGGTTTTCTGCTATGGTGCTAGGAATTTAACCCAGGACCTCATGCATGCTAAGCACATACTCTACTACTGAGCTACATATCTAGCCCTAATTTAAAGAATTTTAAAGGAACTCATAGGGAGAAAAATAAAGTCTAGAATGAGGAAGCAACAGCATAAACTGTAAAACCTAATTCAGTTTTCTTTCTCCATTTCAAAAGATCTTGGAAATATAGTAATCTCTCCGTAATAAAAAACAAAGTACTCTGACAACACAAGGGATTTCTATTTGATTATAAATTACTTTTCCTTAGTAGGGAGGCAAATACTTCTAAGGTTTAAATAAATGGTAACAAAACATGTATGAACACATGAAATGACTTAAGAAATACCTGAAATAGAAGCATCCTTCTTCCTTGTCATTATCTTTTATTTTATTGCAACTAAATGTTTCTGCCTAGAAAGGGGAGAGAAGGAGAAAAGGGAAACAACACACTGTAACACGTACATTCATGGTGAAAACCTACGATATAGCTCAGTGCGAGTCCAGATGGCCTGTGCATTTATAAATGCACGGGACCCATGTACGGTGCGCTTCTTTGTAACACACAGACACAACGAGAGAAGCAGCAGCCGCAGACACCCGACACTCAGTGCACACTGCAGAGCTCCACGGTGGTGACACCAGCGAGGGGACAGTGCTCTGGGCTTTGGACTAACTCGTGCAAGTGAAGCTAAGAGCTGTTTAGCTGGTTAACTTGCAGACTTAAATTACACAAGTTAATTTCCAAAAGAGAAGATTTAAATGAACCATAAATGCTGAAGCGGGTTATTAAACGGGATGCGCTGAAAAATTTTTGGTTTCCAGTTTGAGAGTTGTCACAAATTCGCATGGCATGATATGAAAGCCAAGAGCTGTACATGGGGTATTAAGCACCTGAAGTACAGCCGCTCTGATGTGAGATCTGCTATGAAGTATACACTAAATTCTGAAGAGTTGGGAAAAGAATGTAAAGTATCAATAATATTTTAAAAATACTAAGTACATGTTGAAATGGTACCTTTTGATAGATTAAAAACATTAAAACTCATTTTTTGGTTTTTTTGTTTTGTTTTGTTTTTTTGAGACCATGTAATTGAGACTGACCTGGAACTCACTATATAGCCCAGGCTGGTCTCAAACTCACAGTGATCCCCCTGCCTCAGCCTCCCGAGAGCTGGGATTACAGGTGTGTGCCACCACGCCTGGCAAAACTCATCTTTTAATGTGGTTATGAGAAAGTTTAAACATCAGGCCTGATGTTTCCTTTGGACAGCTGTGGCTCGGCCTTCACACTATTCTCTGCACCCATTTCTATCCTGCATTTTAGCAACATCTCTTTACTCTCATTTTCTATACTGCTAATTGGTGATACTTGATCTGTTTTGCTTTGTGTCACTATCTTTTAGACAAAAACCAAACAAAACTAAACAAAAAGACCTCCACAGTGTAGGCTACTCTTTTTGTAACGCCATCCAAAAGCTGGATGAGTAGGATTACAAGCTCCAGGCCAACCCTGGGTGACACAGTGAGACCCTATCTCAACACAGCAAGACCAGACAGGACAGAACCCAACTGAACTGAACCAACGGTACTGACATCGAACTGAGAAGCGGACGCTGATGCTTTTATTTTAGATCTCAAGGAATGGTACAGATTAAGCTCCAGTTTTCAAATATATACATACTGCAGTTTTACACTGAATTAGATTTAATTTTAAGTTAAAGGTGAGCTACATTTGACCTCTACAAATGCTCCCATGACTCACGTTAGCTGGTGGTCGGTTCACAGTGTTGGATAGCTTCCACATTTTCATGGAAACGCGAGCTGGGTTAATATTTTTAATGATGCAGTCATCTTCAGAGATAACACTGACCATGAAATCTGTCACAGCAAACATACAACATGCATCTCAAATTGACTAATCATGATGGACAATTCCCTAAAGTTAGGTCTAGACAGTAAGTTCTCCTTGTCTTATTTTCACGGTCTGCTGTGCTGCAATTTCAGGCACAAAAGGCTGAAGTGGCCAGACTGTCACTCAGCCACAGCCCTGCATGCTGCACGTGCCCCTGGGACAGAACGCTTCCGTCTTCCACAGCTTTCAACAGCATGCAGGAGTTAAAGCACTGTCACAGACACTATCCCATTATCACTACCATCTGTAACATTTATTTGGCAGTTTTTTTAAAGCAAAATACATGCCTTAACTATCCCAAACAGATTTAAAACAATTCATAAAGTATAAAAGACTATGTATATATGTAGTTTGTTAAAAATTACTGTTAAAAATTTGTATCTAAATTTTTTGATGTTTCTTTCACACAGGCATTCATCTCAACAAAACACAAGTGCTCCATAAAATTACCTGTGTAAAGCAAACACTAATTTCCCACTGACTTAGCAACAGTAACACTGAATTAAATCACCTGCTCACCCAACGGTCTCCAAAAGGCTATTATATTCACTGAAAACCATAATATTTATGACTCTAAAAGCTTGACACTGTATACAGTAAGCAAACAGCTGCTCTTCGGATCTTTAATCATAAATCTTGACATTATGCATTACCTTCCAAACTAGAAAAATGGTTCCAGTTCTGATGGATTTAAGGTAATAGTACAACATACTTAGCAGAGCACAATGTCACAATTCTCACCATCTAGTTCATATTTGTTTTACAGAATTTCATACATAATCCGGTGAACGTACAAACACTGACTAAACTTTTAAAGAGTGCAGGCTACCAGTTTATATACGAACTTTCAGTTCGCTCTTAACATTAAAAGACTGCAGGACAAAGGGTTGAAAGTAGACACTGCTGAATCAGATGTATTTTCCCTGCCATCGAAAAGGCAATGATACGCTTACTTTTAAAAAATTGTGTTGAACATCAAACATAAGTAATTTACTCCACTGTTTTTACAAGGCATATTGTTTTAGAATTTTTTTTTTTGTACTGGGGATTGCACTCTACCAGGCGTACTGTTAAAGATTCATTTAGATACCATCCAATACTCACCAGTGAAAATACCTCCTGCTAAAAAGGAAGCATCTCTGTCATATTTAACATTGAGACGAATGGGTTTTTCAGGGTCCGGAAGAATCATTAACTTGATTACAGGTCCTTCTATGGTACTCTTGTTGTAGACGGCTTTTACCTGCATAGTATGTTCTCCCCTAACAAGAGCAAAGGAAGGGTGGGGGTTCAATGACATTAGCTGTAATCTAAAAATCCAAATACAATGTATACAAACTTGGACTCCTTCAGGGAAGCTTTTTACCTCCTACTCTGGTCCTACTTCCGCTTAACTCTACACAGAAAAGTAGCTACTACTCTTAACTTCATCAAGTAACGAGAAAAATAAATCTCTATAACAGCAAGATTTATCAAACTTTGCGTTCTTACCTAGGGGCAGAAACAACGAACACTCCCAAATTAGCCCTGCCCTTCTCATCTGTTTTATGCTGCTGGTTTGAAGGCATGAGCTAAAAACAAATAAAACAAATTGATTAGAAAATTCTACAGATCAATTGTCTATTCCTGTCTTAAAACTTATATTTGCACATGGTTTCAAAAGTGTAAAACTTGCAAATCTGGAACTCCTGGAAACAGTGTCATATGTAATCACATACTCCGAGAGACAGTAACCACTCATTTTCGTCAGCTGAACTAGCGCTGAGTGTTAAAAGTGAGGAAGTCGCAGCATTTCGGTTTCGCTGTGTCAGGAGCACCACGACAGCACACGGAGTGGTGACACCGGCACCAAAGGTGCAGTTGCGGTGACAGGGCAATGCTCTCTCTGTTCTCCACCCTCCCTTTCAGGGCTCACTCAGGTGTGCTGCTTAAATTTCTGCTGCGATACAACCTTCGCATCGATGACTGGGCTTCCACCTCCAAGTGATCAACAATCAGTGGCCACATTTCCGAATAACAGAGTTTCAGCCTCCTGCGCACGCTTCTTCAGAAACTAAAGTCATACTTCTGAAGCACACGTTCAGAACAAAAGTGAATTTGCAGTCTGTGGTATAAAAAGCCATCCGCTCCCCTAAACTCTTACTCATCTCTGCTCAACATGAAGGAGAGGCTAACAGTGACACATACTGAGAGAAAAAGCAAAGGCTGGAGTGGGAAAACGAGGAGGAGCCACTGGGACCACAGCGAGGTCCCTGCCCAGGCTCTGCTCGCTGCCCTGTAGACAGGTGCCTATGTACCTCTCTCTGCTCAGCCTCTGCACATGCATTGCCTCCAAAATGCTATTCCTTAACCCACAATGCAAGTCACTGTGGTATTTGCCTTCATTTACTTTTTTTAAAAAAGAAGTAATTATCCACCCTAACCTGAAATGTTTGTTCTATATAATAGAGTCAAACCACTGCAACTGTAAAATGTTGGCCTTTTGTTACACTGATTTTGAGATACAAGCTTTACTTCCTAAAAACAAAACAAAACCCCAAGGATCTTTAGTTTGATTTATACTAAACAGTAATTATATAAGACTACACTTTTAAAAAGAAATAAAATGTGCCACATAAACGTATTTTCATGAGAATGAAGGACACATTTTTGTCCCTTGTACTGGGGACTAAACTCAGGACCTTCACACTGACTGACATCCCCAGTGACTGTTTTTATTCTGAGGCAGGGTCTTGTAAAGTCACTACATTACCCTGGCAGCACTCTCCTGCCTCTGCCTCCCAGAGGGCTAGGATTTTAGGTGTGTGTCATCAAGTCTGGCTGGAGTGCCGAATTTTATTTTCTTTCTTTTGCAGTGCTGGGCACTGAACACAGGGCTTTGCATATGCTAGGCAAATGCTCCAGCAATGAGCCCCAGCCCCAGCCCCAAAATACCAAATTTTAGGTTGGAAGTATTTCAGGAAGTCCACAACTTACCTTTAAGATGCTAGCTTTAACGAGGCTTATTTTAACGTGAGGTACTGCTGCTGGATTATCCCACTGATCACAAAGTTGAACAGTGAGAGGGCTCTGTAATTCTCTTCCATTTATCACTGGGATGGCCTGAAAAGGATATAAATATTTTAAGAAGCAATAAAACATATATATGTAAAACCATAAAATTACCTGCAAAACAAATTACTTAATTTATCTCTAATCTATTCACAGACCACTTCTTTCATCAATGAAAATAAACTTGAAAGCTTTTACACAAGCACAAATGACTCTTACAGAAATGATGAGTAATTGGATAAAAAGAAAAACAGCATTTGACATCAGTGACTTTTAACACAGGTTCTTAAAAATTGCCTATTAGAATGACTGCAGTAGAAACAGCTTTTCTCTGGTTCTCAAGTTTAGCTTCGGCAAACTGCAGGTTAGCTCTTGTCAACTTTCAGTTCTCCATCATAGTAGACAAAGCAATCATACAGCACACAGCACTGCTCTACCAAGCCACACTGTCCTGTTGGCTTTAAACATGTCTTGCTTTCCCCCTCTGTAAGGCCTGTCTAACTCTCAGGACTCACCTGCTGGCCTATTAATGCATACTGCATCTTTTCAAAGGAAGTATCAGCAAGCAAGATGCCTCCTAAAGGCCTAATCTTCTAAGTCAGACTGTAAAAGTCAACTAAAGATAGAAGGGAACTATGGAGCAGAAAAGAAAAGCTAATATCACGCTTATCTTCTATTGTTTTTTTTTTTTTGTACTAGGGATCGAACTTGGGTCCTTGCACTTGTGAGGCAGATGGCAGCACCACTGGGCCAAATCCCCAGCTCTCTTCTACTTAAAATGTTCCTTCTGCTCCCCCAGCCCTACTCTTACTGGAGTTAGTTATCAAATGGTGTTGGTTGGTTGCTGGAAACGGGAAAGAATTTGAAGCTAAGCTACGGATAAGACACCAAAGCAAGAATCCCGAGGCTAGCTTAGGGATGACACTTGTCTACCATGAAGTTCATAAGGTTTCCCTGGCTGGCTTCCCTCACAGTCAAGAGACTGAGAAGGATGAACTGCACAGCGAGCTGACAGTTTGCAACTGAGCACACACGACTTTAATCCTCACCACACCACAACTGACCCTGTCAAACAACGGTCTAACTTTTTAAAAGGATTCCTTTTTTTTGGTACTGGGGATTGAACTCGGGACCTTGTGCTTGCAAGGCAGGTGGCGGCACCACTGAGCTAAATTCTCGGCCCTATTCCTAACTATTTTAAAGGATGTCTTTCAGTAAATGACTTTAGCTCAAGGTGGTGCTAATAAATTGTTCTGGGAAATAGTAAGCAACACCCATTTCCAAAATTGACTAAATTTGAAAAAATCTGTTCCTGGTCACTTTTACATTTTGGAATGTTATTTAACATTTCATGTTTTTAGTTTCTTTAGTTATAAAATAACAATACACATGCATATTTACATACTTGAATGTCTGTGCAGGGAAGGTAGGTCAAGAATTAAATTAGGAAATTCTGGAAAAACCAGCTATGAATGATTACTTTCTCAGTGGTATCTACCTATAAACGTACAGCTAACAGATGGAAAAATTAATTTTAGGTTTTTATTTTTTTGAACTGGGAATCAAACTCAAGGATTTGAGCTTGATAGGCAGATACTGCTCCGCTGATCTATATCCCTGGCTAGATATATTTCTACGTGCGGTAAAAGACATATGACTTTTTATTTCTCAATTAAAAAATAAAAGGGCCACGGATGTGGCTCCACCTGCCTTGCAAGCACAAGGTCCCGAGTTCCACCCCTGGTATCAATAAATTAAAAAAAAAAAAGTTACTAAACATTCTAAAAAATTTAGTAAAAAGTTCAATAACAGTAAGATCTGGCAGACATTTGCAAAATCAGCATTAAAAGATCTCAATCCTTTCACAGGAAGGCCTATGAAGCGTGTGTGGATGTAACGATTCAGTGTTTGTGATATGCTTTAAAAGTTTCCACATGATGCACACTTGTAGTCTCAGCACTCTGGGAAGCTAAGGTAGGAAGATCACAAATTTGAACCCAGCCTGGCAAACTTAGTGATTTAGTAAGAACCAGTCTCAAAAAAAAAAATCAGTAACGGATGAAACAAGGTTACTGGCCCACTGGGGTTCGCATTCGTTATATTATCCTTTTACTTTTTTATGCATGTTTGAAAATTTCTCTAATACAGTTTTAAAGTTTTGAACTATTACATTCATTATTTATGTAACAAATAGTACTGGGGATCGAACTCAGGACCTCGTGCTTGCCAAGCAGGTGCAGTGCCACTGAGCTACATCCCCGGCCCTCCTCATGAAGTATCAGCTAAACAATGAGGTGTTAAAATGGACCTTACTTACCTTGCTCCAGCTGACGTCAACAACACAATCTAACCTGCTGACGATCTGGAAGGACCACCCCATGTGGCGCTACAGCTCATTCATTCTGAGACATGAAGTACCCACCTCCTTCAAATCTGGCCAGTCTAGAAGGAGAAGCTTTGCAGGAGGTCCTGAAATGAGCTGCACTCGAATAAAGTCAGAAAATTCACGCCAAGTGAAACAAAGATCCTTATTTCCAGGAGGTCCCGGAATAAATCTGACGCCTCTTACACTTACACTTTGTGAGTTTTCCTAGTGAGGAAAAGCACATGAAGAAAAAGACAGGGTGGTGTTACTCAGCTTTTTAAAAAATAAAATGTTTTGTCATTAACCACTGGCCATTCAGACCAAACCCCAACAGTGGGCATCAAAAAATTTATTTTCACAAGAGGAGAAGCAGAATTTTGTTTCTTTGTTTTTGCTTTGCGGGGGAGAATCTAAAAGGTTCTGGCTACCACCAATCTCCTACTCACTTCTTTATCCAGGCTGAATATATCCCTTACCTGAACTAGTTGAGACAGCAAGACCTTACTGGTTAAGTTTTCCTAATTAAAACCTGAAATCTTCTGAGTTTCGTATCAGTGCTCTCCTCTCCTGTTATGCACACAGTCAAGCACATGCACGCCTGACAGCCTCTGCACTGTGCTCTCTCCTGCTGTCCGCAGCTTCCCGTACGACAGCTCAAGGCTTTTTCAGTTAACCATTCACATGATACTGCAATAAAAAGCGTCTTCCCAGTCACCCTAAGGGACACACCATTACTTCACCTACTTTTTCTCATCACTTATTTATCTACTGCATGCCCTCTCCTTGACAAGATGGTCTCCAGAAGGGTAAGGACTTGGCCGCTGCTCACCCCATTACTTGGGATAATGTCTCAAATATCATATTAATGGAAATGAATGAAAAATCTTTGCTATATGACTGAATGACCTCAAGTGATTCCATACTGATACGAGCCCTGTATTAATAGTGGCCTCTAGTGATCAATCATCTTAAATTTCCCTAACTACAAATCTACTTCATCAACACTTAAAAATCAGAGATAAAATTTCATGTTTTATAAGGAAACAACTTTGAAACAACTGTTTGTAGAGCATTTTGTTTTGTTTTATTTTGGGTTTTTTTGGTAGCAGGGATTGAACTCAGGTCCTTGTGCTTGCGAGGCAAGCGCTGGAACTACTGAGCTAAATCCCCAGCTAAGCATTTTGTTTTTTTTAAAAAAAAGACATTAAAAATAACCCAAATTACAGCCGGGCGTGGTGGCGCATGCCTGTAATCCTAGCACTCGGGAGGCTGAGGCAGGAGGATCTCTGCAGGTTCGAGTCCAGCCTGGGCTACGTAGTGAGTTTCAGGTCAGTCTCAACTATATAGTGAGACCCTGTCTCAAAAACCAAAAAAAAAAAAAACCCAAATTAATCTGCCCGCAAAGTCCAACAGACACTGGGGAGTTTTCGTTTGGAAAACAACTCAAATAGATATTCATCAGTTAAACATATTAGAGTTGAAAATTATGTATGCAAAAAATGACCTGAGCTCACTCCTTCCTATAAAGTCATAGTGGAGGTTGTTTTGCTTTTACTTTAAATCTTAAATCTTAAAAATGAAAAGTGCATTAAAAAAGTATAGATCAGTATGAACAGAATTAAATGTAAGATTCCGAAAACGAGCCAAGACAGTGCACTGGAGTTGTACAAAGTTTACAAGGATGAAAGACGCGTGTCTGGCTGGAGAGCAGCGAGCTGTGGGGCAGGGAGCTTGAGACTGCAGTGGGATGATGTACTACGACGATGCACTACTACAGGCACTGCAGGCCACAAGCCCAAGTGTATTACTATGCACGGCGCTGACCGGGGCCCTGACTGCAGGCATGTGATGGGGCCCAGCCAAGAGCTGAGCATAAAAATCTTCCCAGAGTGGACTGCTAGGGAATGTTGGAAAAGGGTGTGAACACAGTCCATGTAAAACCTCCACGAACTTGCACTATAAAAAGGGGAGATTTTTATTGTAAAAACAGTGGAGGTCAGACGGACAGGAATACAGCACAGGCCCTAAGTTTTGGTGACTTTCTGCAAGGGCGAGGGTATATTCTTAAAGATGAAAGATACGACAGCAGCTTTATGTGCTAATGAGAACGCTCTGACAGATGGGAAACACCGAAGACACAGAAGCCAGGAAAGGCAGGCGCAGTTAGGTGACCGAGGAGGGGACACAGTACACAGAGCAGTGGGAAGCACAGAGTGTTCTTGCATAACAACAGGAGCACATTTATTTCCCTAATCTACACATAGGGTTGAAGCGGGACAATGGGAAACCTGAGAGTCAAAGAGCAGTCTTCATCACTGTACGGACAAAACATCACTAAAGGTTCATCAGTGAAAATTAGGAAAAAGCAGCATAGAAGATTAGTGGAGACGGAAACTCCACTTAGGAATGACAAGGAGGCTATTATTTTGGTTGTCTTGTCAACTAAAAAGTGTCATGGAGGCTCAAGAGGAGTCTAGAAAAAGCTAAAGGTTCTACAGGAATCCAACTTCCCTTAACCTCTGAGACTTCCTCTCCTCTCCTCTCTCAGCTACACTGCTCTGGAAGGTTCCCTGAAACCCCTCCAGCAGGGCCATTTCCTTCAACCTAGCTCTGACTTCTCCAAGCAGAGTACACTCATGCTTGCTTGTCTCAAACTGTTAAGAATTCCACCTGAAGCCGGGCGTGGTGGCGCACGCCTGTAATCCCAGCACTCGGGAGGCTGAGGCAGGAGGATCGCTGTGAGTTTGAGACCAGCCTGGACTACATAGTGAGTTCCAGGTCAATCCAGGTAAAACAAAAACAAAAAAAAAAAAAAAAAAAAAGGACTCCACCTGATTCTACTTTTCAAGCTGACCCGAATTAATGGAACAGCTGCAACTCCGACAGTTAGTTTTCTCCTTAGCATTCTGCTTCATGCAAGGTGTGAGCACCCTGAAGTGTGATTCAGACAGCTGCTTGGAAAGTCACCCATCTATACATGGATATTCATGTGTACACACATCCCAAATATGGATGGAGAAATGATGTCACAGCTACGATGTGCTGCAAAATGACACGCGAGGGAAGAAGTGAAGACGGTCACCGCTGGATGAACATAGGGATTGCTTAAGTTAGTCTACGTCCAAATGTTTTCATTATGAAAGTTTTAATGTCTTTTATGCCTTCTCCTATTAAAAAAGTAAAAATCAAACTGCTTTTATTTACTTTTGTTTTCCCTAAACAGGGTCTCACCATGTAGTTCAGACTGCCCTGGAACTCACTATGTAGCCAAGGCTGGTCTTGAACTCACAGCGATCCTCCTGCCTCAGCCTCCTGAGTGCTGGGATTACAGGCATGCGCCACCACGCCCAGCCTTCCTTAAATATTTTTACAAACAAAAGTATGAGCCAAATGTTCTACAAAGTGGCCATACCTGCAAAGCCGTCTTCACACTTGAGTTATCCAGTCCAGCTCCAGCAATTGACAAAGCAGATAAAGTACTTGGTGAAAATGCTGGAACCTGATTTCCATATTGATCTGTAATAATTATAACTTAAAGACAAACAAACAAACAAGTTTTATCTTAAAGTGCTACCTTTTAAACAAAAGATATAAATATGTACAACACTTAAAATATAATTAGAGGGCTGGGGATTTAGCTCAGTGGTTCCACCACCTGACTCGTAAGCACAGACCTGAGTTTGATCCCCATTACCACCCCCCCCAAATACTTAGAAACATTAATTTTGTTCTTTTAGGAACTTTGGGGGGCCATTAAAATAGTAACTCTCACAAGCCCTAAAAAATAAACCAGGAATCTATATAAGTATACTTAAATATTTAATATGATGCTAATGTTAATCCGATTTTTTTTGTGTGTGTGGTGATAGGGCTTCATGCACGCTCAGCAAAAAAATTTCTCATGAAAATTTGATGGGAATATTTTAACATGCAATTTTCAAGACATAAGAAAAGAACTGGGCATGGTGGTGCATGCCTATAACCCCAGCTACCGGGAGGCTGAGACAGGAAGATCGCACACTGAAGACAAGCCTAAGCAACTTAGTGAGATTCTGTCTCAAAATAATAAATGTCATGGATAGTGCTTGTGCACCATGCCAGAGGTCACACAGTCAACCCCTGATGCTGTCCAGGGAAACAAAACAAAAGCAAAGCATAAAAGAACATAGATTACACTTATTTCTTCTAACAAACAGTAAAATCTTTAAAAATCAACTATTTTGCCAAACGTGAACATAAGGGGAACAGCACAGGAGCAGGAAGTCAGACTATACTAACCTATTTCTCCTTGAAGCTCTTGGCCCATCTGCACTATTTTTCCTCCTTTTAGCTCACACTTTAAATGTCTGGGTTCATCAGGAAGTGGTCTGAAATTAGTTAACAAGTTAAAGGCTTTTGTAACACCACTAATTGAGCACAAAAAAATTTAGTTTCCAGTACACTAAAGAGCAATAAATATGTAATGTTTAAAAATACAACAGCATCCTTTAAAACACCTCTTTAATTTATAGATTACAGCTATTAACCCAGAAGACATGTCAAGTCAAAGTATCTATGCTGGGTTAAAAGAGAGCACTGAGATCAACAGAGAGGTAACAACGGCTCATCAAGAGAGCTACGGCACGCTCCAGGAGTGGTGTTTGCAACCCAGCTCTCAGAGGAGGAGGAGGCAGGATAACTGCATGTTTGAGGCCAGCCCAAGCACCGTGTGAGTTCTCGGCTGGCTGGAGCACACACCCATGCCAACTTCCCCACACACTCAAAGAAGAATACTTGCTATGGCCAGAGAGATACATTTGAATTATTTTATCTCAAATGCAGAAGGGCCGGGGATTTAGCTCAGTGGTTCCGTGGCCTGCCTTGTAAGCACAAGGACCTGAGTTTGATCCTTGGTGCCAGAAAAAACAAACAAACAAACACAGGGTTGTTCTAAGTGTTGGGAATACTATGGGAAAGAGCAGAGGGATTCTGCTGCAGGGAGTTACTGGAAGATGTGGCCACCTGGGTGCAGTGGCACAAGGCCATTACCCCAACCAGCCAGGAGGCTGAAGTGGGAGCACCAGGCAGCCTGAGGCCACCCGGGCAATTTGGCAAAATAAGAAATTTAAAAATGCTGGGATGTAGCTCAGGGCTACAAACCCCAGGTTCAGTCCCCAGTATGGGAGGCAGGGAGAAAAAAGTGTCAAGGAATTTGTAAGGAACAGGACAGGGCTTTTACATATTTGTATAATTCAGCACAGAGTTATAATCAAGATAAGAATCAGTAACTAGAACAAAACTTCATTCCAAAGACAACCTACCTGTTTCATAGAAACTACACTATTTTCTGTCTTAGAAGTAACTTTCACATCAATTAAAAAAATAAAAGAAAGAAAAGTAATTTTCACATGTGTGCAGTAGAGAAAAATTTTTGGTACCATATGAATTTTAGAGTATCTCAGAAAAGGCCGGGGATGTAGCTCAGTGCTGCCTTGCCTGTCTGGCAACCACAAAGTCCTGAGTTTGATCCCCAGTACCACCCCTCACCAAAGAATATCTGAAAAAACACCAAATCCACAAACCTTACTGTAAATGCACTTTCCAAAGATACATGATCATCTTGGAATGAAACTTGACAATAGCGCATATCTTTCACAGACGTTGGTACTTGCACATCAGGAAGCAGGCCCTGTAGCAAGTGTTCTTTGTTATTCTCAGGAGTCCAGTTTACCTAGGAGAAAGTGACACATTTAAGAATAATATAAAGCTTAGCCTGTCTAATGCCCTCCCGCTGCATATCTTACTGAAAAATCTTTTTGTTGTTTTTAGAGGCAGGGTCTCCTTTTGTAGTTCAGACTGGCCCTCAACTCACTACGTAGCCCAGGCTGGCCTTGAACTCGCAGCGATCCTCTGGCCTCAGCCTCCCCTCATCACAGCTGGCTCTGAAGAATCTTAAAGCTAAATTAATCCATCTTCTTACTCCAAGGAAAAAGTCAGTCTCTTTATGGTCAGAAATGATGGTTGTTCATATATTATGATAAAAAAGTACCTTTTTTATCGTTACTGTTCACATTGCTGTGTTTTTCAATGAAATAAAATAGCAGTTTTAAAGTCCATTTTCTATGAACTCTGGTGTAAGATTATAGTGTTCATTACAGTTTAAAAATACAGGACCAAGTGTGGTAGTACACACCTGTAACCCAGTTCTCTGAGAGGATGAGGCCAGAAGGTTGAAAGTTCAAGCCCAGCCTGAGCAATTTACTGAGAACCTACTTGCCCTATCCCCGCCCCCAAAAGGACGAGTTTAGGATTGAAGTTCAGTGTAAAGGCCCTGGGTTCAATCCTGAGCACTGCAAAACCAATGAAATAAAAATTTTTAAAAACTTCAACAGATCAGATTATGCAATCATTTCTGAGAAGCAGGGACAGGGGCTTGAACAAAAGCTAGGTGGGTCTTTATTTGGCCAGATTAAAAAAAAAAAAGAAGAAGAAGAAGAAGTTATATCTATTGATGTAATTACCTTTCTGGTCTCCTTTTGGCCTAAATCCTTTCTGGGATATTTTCAGCTCTAAATTTTATATCTTTTGAATCCTGTACTTGTTACCTTTTCAAGTCTTACCCTTCAGGGTTCTATTTTTAAGCTTTGAATCCTTTCTATTTAAGAACTTTTAGCTCAACTCTCCCTTTGCTTTTAGACTTCTACAGTTTGATTTACGAAGGTCACTGACGACTCACACCGCCTTCTAGCTTACACTGCTCTGCGGCAGAAGGTAAGGGGCGAGCAGGAGACACCCAAGAGGACAGTCTGTTCCTGCCCTCCCTGAGCTGTGTGCGCTCCCTGCACCTCGGAGGTGACACTCCATTCAGGCCAACCACTCCCAACACTGATTTAACTCTCTACAGACTAAAAACCACCAGGAAGACTGTACCCTCATCTCGGCATCTTTTAGTACTGAAGAGGAAGTACATAATGTAAAACGGTTGGTACCCATGAAACACATGGCTACTACTGTTATCATCTGAGGAAAATGTTGCAAACGCAGGCCACAAGCTTAGAGAACAACATGGAAAAGCTTAGGCGTCGTATAGGGAAAGGTTTTCCTCAATGCCTTTTCTTAACCTGGATACAAAACTCCTCCATGAGTAGAGGCGTTAATGTGAGCAGGGAGGGAGTTCAGAAGCCAGGTCTCTGGAACCACTTTTAAGCCACTAACCTTTCAACCTGCTAGAGATAAAAATGGCTTGCCTCCCTTCCAAGCAAGATCTGGACTATTTTTCTTTAAAGCCTCCATTTCCTTGATATCAAAAGGGAAAAATTAACTGTCTAGAGTAAGGGTTATTCTTGAAAAAAGAAGGCCAGTTGTACACCTACTAAATAACCTTAGATCACCAGATCCCACCTTTGAAGACTCAGGCTGGGTACCGGGTACAGCAGTGGGAAGCCCAGCTCTTACATCGTGTCCCACAAGGCAACGCTCCACGAAGTTGGCTAACTGGGCCCCTTCCTTGAGGTCACAGAGGTTTGCTCTCTAGACATGGTTCTCTCTGTCTCAAAGACACTGGATTTTTAGAAAATGATTCTCCCCCATCAAAACTCAAGCTTTGAGTTTTATCTCCACTGACATCACCAGATACAACTGCCTTTCAGTCAGTGCTGCTACAATTTCAGGTCTCAAAGTACAAGTCTGTTCTGAAGCAATTATGTGTTAAGGAACAAATGAAGCACGAAGCAGATTTTACTTTTACTGAAGTACAATTTTGCTCATGAAAAAATGTAACTCCTCACACTGTACCTTAGCCAAGCCAAATCGTGTGAGAATACACGAAATGATGTACAGCGAACAGCACCGTCACCTCTGGTGGCTGTGTTGTAAGCTACGCTTGTCCACAGAGCATTACAACTTCACGCAGTTTCAGACACCCTCCTTCCCCCATTTCACAGGAGCTCACAAGTAGCAACATTTCGTGCAACAAGCAAGGTGAGCTGCCAGTTCCACGGTGTGAGCGCTTCTGAACCATCGGCATGTGTGTTACTGTTCCTGTTTCTGCCAGTTCTACTAGGTTCCTATCTCTTTTTAAACGGGTTACTTTGAAGTCTGTGCGCTGTGTCTCTAACTCCATTTTCCCCATAAGCTGTGTTTTTTGTTTTTTTTTGGTATCAGGGATTGAACTTGGGACTTTGTGCTTGTGAGGCAGGCGGCGGCACCGCTGAGCTACATCCCCGGCCCATGGTTTTGCAGAGCACAGTGATATGTGGGCGTGCATGGTCTCAGTACAATACAACCAACTGCGCTCAGAAAGCTGCAAGCACTATCTGTCCATCAACCCGAAGGCGAAGGCTACAGCTGTCTGCTTTCATGCTGCGAACTGTACTGGTCTGACTGTTCCTTCTCGGTGGGGTGTTAGGTCTCACCATGCGGATTCAAGCTTATCAGAGTGTAAATGCTACAATGAGATCACAGCTGGCTGATGAGCACCCACAAAACTTCCCTAAGGGACACTGAGCTTTGAGAGAGTGGCACAGCAACTCGAATGGCCGCATCAGGGCTCTGGAGTTAACAGCTCTGTATCATCACTTGCTTTTAGTCCCTCATCTGCGGAGCGATGTGAGAACAGCCAGGAGTAGGTTGGTTGGTAATGTGGCAATCGTGACGGTGACTACAGAAATATATCAGTCAGGAAGTATACAAATAAAATTCTAAAGCCTCAAACAATTTAACAAAGCAAAATCATTTTTTTAAAAAAAAATCATTTCTCTAAGTACAAGTTTGTCACAGGTGAAAACACATCTCCATCTCGTAGACAGAAAGTTTTTCTTAGCTCAGAATTTTAAATAATACTATTTTTCCTTGGCAAGATTCTTCTTAGAGGCTACTCAAAACACTTCTTGGTCAGAGTCCTATAAAACAAAAAAATTCTTACAATTAACCAATTTATTTGAGATACTTACTTTAATTTTTTCTGCTAAAGTTGATGTTATATTGATTTCTCTTTCTCCTTCATCATACATTTGAAAAATAAGATTACGCATAATATCGCCTGCTACCCAGTTAACCTCATCTTGATGTTTGATCTGGATCGCCTTCTGTCCCTCTACACTGAATATCTGCAGTCGTGCAACATGGCTGCTGGGAAGCAACTTGATCGTCTTTTCCACGGGCGACACATCTTTACAGCTCTAGTAAGAGAGGGAAGCAAATGCTCACTGAGTGACAGCTGTACTAACAACTTCAGCAACAATGTAATGGTGGATCCACTACACTGCTGAGGGTTTCAGGTCCAGCACTACGGAAATCCCTGTGTACACTGCTGCACTTCAGGTCTTATCACCAAGAGGGCATCTACTGTTGATAACGGTGCTTTATATCATCAGATTATAAAGATATTGGACACATTCTTAAGATTAACAAAAAGTATGTTTGGACTAAAAGGAATCCTTTCCCTTTATTTATAATTTGATTTATAAGTACTACAAACAGGAAATTTTAATGCCACAGACTTGTGAACAGCAGCAGGAAGAACCGTTTGAGAACAGCATGTAAGAAATTAGTAACTATCCATAAAACTGGAGAAAAACACTTGCCAAACAATGTCCCACTTAACCACAATGGGTTAACACTGAAGCTTTCCCCGCTTTCTACACTGGCACATTCTGAGACAACTGCTTACAGCCAGAAAAGGGCTCTAAATGCCCCGAAGGCTGAGCTGAACTACTTAGAAATTTATGATTGTGACTGGCACAGCAGCATTCCATAGAACAGTGAGGAAGGGCTGGATCATACTACAGAACTTGATTCGGGGCCTGGTGAAGTGGTTCACGCCTTTAACCCCAGCTATCTGAAAAGCTGAGATAGGGGGACCACAACTTCAAGGTGAGGGCGTCTCAATGTATAAAATAAGAAGGGCTGGGATGTAGCTCAGTTAAAGATCCTGGGTTCGAGCCTTAGTACTGAAAATTAAAACAGAATTTAGGAAGATAAAATTGAAATATTACACTATTTCATCACCTAGTAATATACAGCGCATTCTGTAGCATACGCTAAATTTAAACTAAGCCTAACCTTATACTTTACAATCTTACTTTATCTCCCTCCTCATGGAGTGGCAGCCATTCTCATGGACACCTATTCACTCTACAGACGACATACTGAAATTCCTGCACGACAGAATTAGAAACATCTTATTTGCTGGATTCCTTAAACTCAGTTATTATTACTTTGGGGTAAGATTTCATTGCTGTGTGGTGCAAGTTACACCGTGGTGTTGGTTTCAGCTGCCCTGTGTCCTGAAGTCTCCTGCCTACTGAAGCTCTGTGTGGTTTACATCAGGCCTGCCTGTTAACCTTGCCTCAAAATCCAGATGCCTTCCTAATTTCAACTTCTGTGCCTTCTGACCTTTTATAAGTGATTCTTATACAGTAATTCTCAAAAATTCTGCCAATATTCTTGCAAAAACGGAAGTGCATTATAACTATTTTCTCAAATAGGAGGAGGTTGAAAGGTTAGAATAAAGACAAATCACTGCATCTTAAGGAAGTAAAAGCCATCTTTAGCCTCTCTGAGGCTCAAGATAGACTGATAATTGGTGTGCAATGAATAGATAAGTATGAATTAATCAGCTGATTAGCATATCCACCACATATCAATTACTAAGAAACCGCATTGCAGTGTTTTGCCTACATATCTATTACCCCTTCCAGCGATCTTAGAGACTGACCGCACACACTGACTGCCATGTCGGCCTCACCATCAGCCACGATTCAGTTCCAATAAAATATAAAGAAATTGCTTTACACACAAATACTAAAAACTATCTAAAAGTACACAGGTGAATTAAAGGCTCCTATGTCCTTCGGTGGTAGTTAAAGTGGGAATATTTACCAAACTTTGTAAAAAACAAACAGGAAAAATGAAAATCAAAAGAACATAGTGCATTTTAGTATTAGGAAACATTTTTTAGAGGATTATTAATTGCTGTAGATGTTGCAAAAGGTTTGATAGAGAAAGTTACTATTTGACACAAAATGGTAAATTAGTCCTTATGCCTCTATGTGCTGCTTTTTCTCTTTTTCTCTCTTTCTCTTTTTTCTCTCATTTTTAAACTCAAAGAACTTGGCATAAAATATCACGATGCTGTTAAAAGCTATTAAAGACTACAGTGTCAGTGAGTAACAGTACAACTTACAGGTATTTCAATTCTTGCTTTAAGGCTCTGGTCTTTTTTAATATTCTGGACTTGAATTGCAGATCCCGTTAAAATACTGGTTCCCGAACTGCTGCAGTCTACGACATACACTGGAAGGTTGGGGGCACCTAGGAACTAAAGGGCAGATAAACATGACAGAAAATGGAGTCAAATGTAACCAATCGCTCAATTCATTGTTCACATTTTCAAATATTTTATTACAGCTACTATTTTAGGCTGTAAACTGAAAAATTCTAACTAGAACCCAGAATTTCAGAGAATTTCTGAAGAAAAATTTTCTATAAAGCTAAATGAAATTTGTTTTAGAAGGAAAATCAACTCTCTTGACCACTACAGTTTTGTTTTTTTTAACTTAATTAAGTTTTTTGTTTTCTTTCAAGGTCTTTTTACTCACTTTCATTTATCCACACATTGCCAAGGCTGAAAGGTATTGGTGTTTTTTTTTGTTTTTTTTTTTTGGTACTGGGGATTGAACTCAGGACCTTGCACTTGCGAGGCAGGTGCAATACCCCTGAACTAAATCCCCGGCCCTAAAAAGTATTTCTTAACATTCTATTTTTTAATTTATATTTTTATATTTTTGGTACCAGCAATCAAACTTAGGACCTTGTGCCTGCGAGGCAGGTGGCGGCACCACTGAGTTAAATCCCCAGCCTCTTAACATTCAATTTATAAGTAAAATATCTCATTTAAAATGAGGGGGAAGGGCCGGGGGTTTGGCTCAGTGGTGCCGCCTCCTGCCTTGCAAACACAAGGTCCTGAGTTCAATTTCTGATACTTAAATAAATAAAATGGAGGGGAAGACAAGGCAGGAAACCTTCATCCATAAATGTACGAAACTGGAAAAAACTGACATATTTATTGGCTGAGGGATACTGAAACAGTACTGGCAAGGAGAGACCTCATAAACGTTTCCATGGAATAATCATTAAAGATTTACACATAAGGCTTACTATGAATTCTTTAATGGTTATTTAATGAAGTAACGAAGATACAGCCAATGCTTTTACTATCACAGGACTCAAAGTCTAGGTGCTCACATCCCAGTAAGCTTACCTTGCAGTGAACAATCAATTTTGGCTGCACTGTTACGTTATCTGATTCGTCTAGAACCTCCACCTGAAATGGGAAAGCTGTTCCATTTTCTATAACTAAAATTTCCGAATCAGGTTTCACTTTCAATCGACGAGGGGGACCTGTCAGGATATTACATAATGAAATACACATTTAGGTTTCAGAGACTGAAGTAATGAAATACCAAAAAAGATTATTTTATGAAAAATGCCAAGAAAAAAACTAAGCAATGCCCACACTTGATTTTCAATCCCCCAAATGAACAGATTCTATGGCGCTGGGAGCTATCTCAACTGTACAGTAGAGCACTGACAGTCTAGGCTGTTTTATGCGCCACACTAAGACATTATTTGTAGTGACAAATCATTCTAGAAATCACTTCAACATTGGAAATTTTAAAAAAGATCCTGGGGAAATCCAGGCATGGCTGTGCACACCTATATGTAATTCCAGCACTCAGGAGGCTGAGGCAGGAAGAAAGCAGCAAGTTCAAGGCCAGCCTGGGCTCTATAGAGAGTTCTAGACCAACCTGGATAATACAGCAAGACCCTGTCTCAACTCTCCCCATCCCTGCTAAAAGTAATGATAAAAAGGGGGGGGAATTTAAGAATAATGTATGAAACTCTTTATTTACCAGCTGTAACTGGTAAGGACTAACTTCTTTAGTGTAAGTAACAACATGGCTGGATCCACTCCTCCCAATGATCATTCCACGACGCACTGCCTCTGGTGCCATAGACAAGTTTATGTAAGATGAATCAAAAGGGCTTATGCTTCTGCAGTAAGTTGACCTTGACTCCACAATCACTAATATTTTATAATTCAATTTATGTAAGTATTGGTAACATAAGTTTATAAAAACAGTTACTGGAAACACTTATTTTACTTTGTAATATTAGTTAATACTATAATGGCACACAGTTTAGTTTAAATGAGACACTAGTCTCACTGCAAATCTCACAATAATCTCAATGAAGAAAGTAGTATATTATTATTATTATTATTATCTCAATTTTATTTATTAATTAATTTATTAATTAATTTATTAATTTATTTATTTATGATTTTGTTGTGTTTCTTGGTACTGGGGGATCAAACTTGGGACCTTGAGCTTTCGAGGCAGTCAACAGAACCATAGCAGCCCTATTATCTCCATTTTATACGTGAAAAAACTTTATATAATCAATCTAGAAATTAAAGTTGCCTGCAGTAAATTTAAGTATTTTGTGTAGGCCACAAGTGATAGACACAGACTTAAATCTTGGTTTGTAATTTGAAACTCCTTGACTTTTATCACTATGATATGCTATTTCTTACTTCACCATTTTTACCCTCAAATAAAAAAGAGGTAAATGTTTAGTTTCTATGAATTTTACTACTTAACCCTAAAATGAAATAATTTTTTCTTATACCTCTATCAATGCACAAATTTCTAACTGCCAATGCACGCTTACGGGAGACCACAAACAACTTGAATTTGTGTAAGCAGCTAATACATTTCGTTTGGCTGAAAACCAGTACGGAAGGTCTCCCGGGAATGGGAAGAGAAGACCAGGTGTGGGAGTCAGAGCTGACTTCCCGCCTGGCAGCAGCAGCTCCCGCACTGCACCGGACCCGTCTATGTAGATGGCAGCGCATGCGTGGTGGCACACAGCGCTAGGAGCACCTGCACACCCGTCATTAGAGCCTGGCCACAGCAGATGCTCCTTCCCTACACATGTGAAGAAACTGAGGCACAGCCACCTAGACGGAAGCCAAGGGGCCGACTCCACACGCGCTCCGAATCTCTACAAAGACGGCTTCTCAAAGGAGCCAGCACTTCCCACCCCATGTAACTTCAGTGCAACTTCATTTTCTCAAGTTAAAGCTGTAGTTATCAAGTGAATATAAATGAAACCACAAACTTTTATTCTTTAAAATATGAAACAGTTGTATCAACAAAAGCAAAGGACGGACCCAGTTCTAATAAAAACCTAGTATGTATACCCCACCAGGAAAACAGCTCCCAGTATGTGTCAGTACCCAAAAATTTTCTCCTAAAATTTTTAGAACATCACTAATACATTCCTAAATCTTTTCCATTTTAAAAACTGGCCAATTCTGTCCATGCTATGTTTGAAACTACAAATGTATTTTCAAAACTCATACCATTTACCATCCCAACCCTCAAACTTTTATTACCATTATGACATAATTTATTATAAAAATATTGTTTACAAGTTAAGTATTTGGAATATTTCTTAAAATAACATTACCTGGTAGTAATCTAATTTTTAGAATTTGTGAATCCTCTTTTAAACCCGGCAGAATCACCTTCAGGTTAAAATTCTGTTGAAAAAAATAGTAAAAATTAAAACCAAGCCAAAATACATACCTAAGTAGTTTAGCATCTCAACTGCAATCTATTTTGCTTTTTCATATCATTATTTAAATCTACTCACCAACTTTATATTTGATAAAATCATCAGTTATATAGGATAATGGGATGTGTGCTGCTTCCTTATAGACAACAGTCTCTCCAAATTTAGATGCACACTTCTGAATAATTAACAGAATCAAGGGCCGGGAATGTAGCTCAGTGGCACCGCGCCTGCCTGGCAAGCACAAGGGCCTGAGTTCAATCACCGGTACCACACCCACACACCCACACACACACACAAAAGGCTTTGAATAAAGGGAAGGAGCTGAAAAGCATTTAATTCATAAATGTTTAAGCAACTGTAGTAGCTATGTGAGGTGGCACAAGCCTGTAATCGCAGTGCTGTGGAGACTGAGGCAGGAGAATCACAAGTTGGAGACCAGGATTAGTGAGATCCTATCTCAAAAAGGGACGGAGGTGGAGAGTTCAAGCAAAATGAAAACCAAACCAAACCAAAAACAACAACAAAAACAGTAATGAAAGTGCCAATTTTTCTTATCCATGCAACAAGTGACATGATGAGGATTAATTCCTACAGCTCAGTATTGTCATCTTGTTTATAAAAACAGGTCATTTAATTTTAAATTTCCAACTTCATTTTTACCATGTAAGAAACAAGTAATAGGACTTATTAATATCTATGTCCAGTGCTTACCTTGCCTTGACAAGAGTTCACAGGGCCCTTAGCTGTAACACCTCGAATTACACAATTCGGTCCTCTGGTTATTTCTTCATAATGTAAAGATAAACCACTGGAAAAAATAAATTACTTTTTAATTTTTTTTTTTTGGTACTGGGGCTCGAACTTGGGTCCTTGAGCTTGCAAGGCAGGCGGCAGAACCACTGAACTAAATCCCAGGCCCTAAAATAAGTTATTTTTAAACTTTCCCAACATACCTAAAAAATAAGCTGCAAAGGTTCCATAGGCATATTTAATTCATTTTTCTAATAAAATAACTTTTTCTAAATAGAAAAAAAATAGAAACAAATTCCCACAAATTTCTTTTAGGGAAAATTCGTTCAGTAAGTACTGATAAGTGATACCAAAGGATAACAATTAAAATGATACAACATATTACTGAAAAATTAAAAACTTCACAAATTGAATTAGTAAAACTATAATGCAAGAAATAACCCAAATAATAGACATGTATACAGGTCCAAGAAAAAGAAATACTCAAATAGGCCAAGTTTAAGGGTGTACTCAGGCTTTGCTATGGATTCTTTCTAATCTTTCAGTGGGATTTTACAGAAATTTTGATACCAATTAAATTGAATGGCGATTTTAGAAAAAATACAAATAATCAAAGACATTACTGTGGTGGTATAAACTGGACAGAATATATACTAAGATCCCCTAATCTAGTCTGTGGGTAAATGAAATTTGACACATGTAGAGATCTTTATGAGGAACATTTTACTAAGGTAAGGAAAGAGAAAAAAGTAAAAAAATACACCATGATGAAGGAGAAAGCCTAATTTTTCAGAAGAATAGAAGTCACGTGTTAACAGGTATTTTCTAAATAAATCATAAAATTTATTTAAAATTACATCAATTTAAAGATTCAACTGGCTTTATTTTTGATTCAAGAATTTGGTAATACTTCATTTCTATTTCATTCCAATAGTGCCCAAGTGACCAGAACAGGCCAGGGGGCTGGTTTTATATTAAGAAAAGGGTCTTAATTTTTTGGTACCAGGGATTGAATTTGGGTCCTTGAGCTTGCGAGGCAGGCAGTGTGGTACCATTGAACTAAATCCCTAATCCTAGAAAAGGGCTGATGGAGAAACAAAAACAAAAGAAAAACAGATTTATAATTTAAAAGTTTCTTATAAGGTAAAGACAAGGAGATAGAAAAATTGGAAAATAACTGATCAGCTAATATCAGATTATTTTGTGTTATTTCTTGTATGTAAAGACTTAAGACAGAGGTCTTAAGTCACACACTATCATGCCAATTGAAGGTGCCTCAGAAGTTCAGACAAACAGCTAAGCTTCATCATAGGGACTGAATTTTTGTGTAGGTGACTCCATTCTGATTTTCAGCCCGGTCTGTTGGGACCTCTGGCAGACGCCTAGTCCAAAATGATAACTTCCTATAATTTTTGTTTAACAAACTAATACTCCTTGTTTGAAAAAAGGGAATATTCTTACTTTTTAAAACATCCTTCTTAAAAAAAATTTTATTAGTACATGTCTGCAATACATAATGTTTGCGCTCCCTGTATGGCACTGGTACGGGCACGTAACACATCTTCCTTTCTTTCTTCATCCCTTTTCCCTCTCCTATGACTAAGGTCCCTGACAGAACACTGACCACTTCAGAACAAGACATATTCCAAAGAAACCCCTAAGAAAAAAGCCAACCAGCAGATCGACTGTGTAAATAAAGCAAGGTAATCATCATAGTTCCTTGACCCCAGGAATGATTCTCCTGTTCACAAAGATAACCAAACCTCCACTCGGGGCAGATGTCTTTGGGACACTGCCCACCTTCTTGCTTAAAAGTGCAGATTCTCTATATACCTGTTGCACAATAAACTCCATACTTCTTCACCTCAACCACCTAAGGTGAAATCTTTCATAAAAGGCACACAAGATCGAAGCCCAAGGGGCATGGGGCTGGCTCCTTGGTGTCAGGATCCAGCTTCCTAAGATTTACCTTGGCCAAAAGGTGGAGGAGCGACTGAGACCCAGCTTCCTGATAACAACATGAAAGCATAAGATTTCTTTACTTTTAAAAGCAGAGTTAAGGAAGAGATGAAAAGGAAGCACAGGACAGGGACAACAAAACATCTGAAAGAAAATAGGGTAGACAGGCAAGAGATCAGCCATTCCAATAAAGCTGCAGGCTAAAAATACCAATAAAAGCTGGGAGCCAATCTACCACGGAATTCCCAGGAACCAGTCAGGAGTGGGTGGCGATAGAACCAGGAGCCCCTAGAAGTACGAGCAAAAGAGAGAGGCCGAAGAGTGTGAAGAGAGCTTAGATCTCAGATCTCCCACTCTCCCTCTGGCAGATGACTGGATGAGTATTCACTGCCAAGGTGGAAACAGAAGACCTGTGCAACAGCGGCCATAGGTATACTGAAGGAGAGGGCGAAAGACCAAAGCGAACAGGAGGGGTAATCACAACAAAGGCACACGGTGCTGAGGACTCCTAGTCCCCTATTCCCACTCCAGCCCAGTCCTGACTGCCTTGGGCCAAATGCTGCCCCTCTAGAAAAATAAATCTCAAGCCGGGCGTGGTGGCGCATGCCTGTAATCCCAGCACTCAGGAGGCTGAAGCAGGAGGGTCACTGTGAGCTGAGACCAGCCTGGGCTACATAGTGAGTTCCAGGTCAGTCTCAACTACATAGTGAGACCCTCTCAAAAAATCAAAAAACCAAAATAAATAAATAAACAAATAAATAAATAATAAAAAAAATTAAAAAGTCTCAAGATTCTTCTTTGAGGAAACTACCCTGCCTGAGAAAAGACCTAAAGAAACTGACAAGATTCTGGCCCCCTCCCTGCAAGACTGCTCTAGTCAAGCTATGGCAATGGCGCCCACTTGTAATCCCAGTACTGTGGGAGGCCGGAGGAAGCAGGGTCACAAATTCAAGCCCAGCCTGGGTAGCTTAGCAATTTAGCAAGACATTGTCTCACATAAAAAATAAATAAAGAACTGTGGATGCAGTTCAATGCAAGGGCCCTGGTCTCAATAAAAAAAGACACGTATGCAATTTCAAGGAAATTAAAACTATAAAAAATTAATTTTGAATTTTTTACAACTATATATTGCTTTTTAGGAATTTAACCACAGTATGCTCTCAACACAGCACAATCTGCCTCACTTGTCTGAAAGTGTCGAGAAGGCAAATATCCTTATTTACAACTGTTATCTCCAATTACCAAGTGCCTAGAATATATATCCCAGTGACTGAAAGAATAGATAATTCTTCCACAAGGCACAGCTATACACAGACACGACATAAGGAGGGACACATAAAGTGGGCCTGGGCTGGGATGCAGCACAGTGAGTCTCTCGTCTTGTTTCACACACCCAAGGCCCTGGATTCCGCCCTGGCACCACAAGGGTGTGAGGGTGGAGCATGGGAGGTGTGTGTGCAAATAAAGACAAATTTGGCAACTGATGCAAAAGATATATTTAATATTTAGGAATAACTGTGTAGAAGAAGAAACAGAACTCACTCTCTTAAGACATATCAATAATTTCTTCCTAAGCATATCAAAAGAGGGTAATGGTAAGTAATGAACATCCTTAACACCAGTGGACATGCTATTAAGTTTCTCAAAAACTATTTCTTAATACAGACAATCGTATCATTTTAAGGATTCTAACCAAAAGCAAATTTCAAGAAAGGACTCAAATTGCTATGGAAGGTAAAAACGTCATTGCTTATGTTTTTTTTCTTTTTACTTTATGAAAAAACAAAACAAAATTTCCTAACAAAATAATTAGAATAACAAGTTAACACACTGTATCATCATCTTCAAAGTAGTTATTCAGAATACAAGACACAGACTAAAAAGATTCTTACACAGAAACAAACAGATGATGACACAAAACTTTCTTTTCAATGAACCAAGATAGATCAGTAGTATAAATGAAACAAGTTAGCACATATAATAAAATACTTTTGAAACAAAAATATGGAATTTGAATCTGTGCTTGTGTCGTGCTTATAGTTTTAAAAACACCAAAATATGTTACAACACTATTACGTTTAAATGGCCAGGGCTTCTAAGTAAACAACAACTGACAGAACTGCCCGGAAACAACATCTCATAAGCACAGAAGGAAGGGTAGAAAAACCTAACCACCTAAAGGGCCTCGACAGTTGATTTAGTCAAATGACAAACTTCAGAGAAACAACTGACATACGACATTGCAGTCACAGACGACAGCTTGGATCAAATAAATCCCAAGATCATCATAAAATTAACTGCATATTTTAAATGACAAAACTGAAGCCAACCTCACGTAAATAATCTGAACTTAACAACAGAAGGAATACTTGGCAAACGTGAAAAGACAATCACACGTGGATATTTACCTTGCTTCAAGAACTGGCTGAATGTCCGTTGCTAGCTGGCTAGGGTGACCAAATTCATCCTGAAACTCCAGAGGGATACTGAATGGGACACCAACTCGAAAAGCAGGGTCCATAAGTCCGAAGGAAAATTTCTCTGGCTTGCCCTCTTACAAAAACAAAAATACAAATGAAAAGCGAATTCACTGGTCATCAAATTCACTGAAGGTTAGAAACAGACTCATTCATGTAAGGGAAATTACAGACCATGGATAAAGATGGCATTTTAAATCTGTGCAAAAATTTAACTATTACCAACAATCCACAGGGGAAAACAATTAGGACTTTTTTTTCTTGTGGTACTTGGGATAGAACTACGGGCCTTTGCACTAAGCTACATCTCTAGCCCTTTGTCATTTTTATTTTGAGATAGGGTCTCATTCACTAATTCAGTAAGTTGTCCTGTCTGGTCTGGAACTTGTAACCCTCCTGCCTCAGCCTCCTCGAGTGTTGGGATTATAGGTATAGGCCACTACACCCAGCAAAGTATATCAGAACTCCATCTCATACCGTATACAAAACTAAGATTCTAGAGGTAAAAATAGATATTCTAAATTGCGAAATTATCAGAATACAATGAAGAATGTTTACAATCTTATGAGAAAGGCTTTCTGAGATAAAACAGAATAGTAATAAGATGATCTGATGAGTTTAGAAGGGAAGCTGCATATGACAAAAGACTTGCAACCTATGCAACAAAGAATTAAAATTCACACATTGAGAAGCAATACACCAGCGCTCTTACCGCCGCTCCCCCCACCCCCGCAGCCTCACACACACTAAGTTCTACCTGTATGGTCCACACTAAGCTACAACCCAACTCCAAACCAGCTCTTCCTAAAATGTGGTCGCCAAAAATAGCAGTCCGGAACTCGTTAGAAAGGCAAATTATAGAGCCTACCCTCGAAACACGCTGGATCTGGAACTCTAGCGCTAAGGTCCAGGAGGCTGTTTTAATAAGCTTTTAGGTGGCTGAGATTCAAACTTAAATTTGAAAACTAAAGCCTTTTTCTGAAGTATTAAAATGGGCACTGCAGGGCCAGGGATGTAGCTCAAGCCTGGTACCGGAAGGGGGGGACTGTAAACGAACAAGCTTTTGGATGGCATACGATTGCTAATAAGTGCTCAGAGCAGGTACACCACACAGAAATTACAGAGATCGTCTGCCACTTTGGATAAATAAACATATACTTTGGTTAATGTGAAACAAATTTTCATTGCTTGTGGGTGGGAGTAGCACTGGAACAGCCTTTTGAGAATTCTTGGTATTCACCCCAGAGAAATTATGGCACAAGCAGCATAATTTCTATATCCAAAAAATTGAAAATCTAAAGGGCTCATCAAGAGAAAACTGTTTAAACTACAGCAAATCCATACTAAAATACGTTGCACAGAGCCCCTGGGGTCCTCAAAAGTCTCAGGAACAGGTGCCTCAGCTGTAGTGAAACCAGCAACGTAGAAGACTGGGTGGGAGTCGGTTTAAGAAACAGTTCTCTAAATCCCCAGCCCTCGATGTGTAGGCGAAGGCAAATGTCTTCTCCATCCCCAGCGAAGGCAGGTTCATCCTCTGAGGAAAGAAAAGGGTCGGCCGCGGGAAGAAGGTACACGCCACCATGGAACTCAGTTCACTGACAAGAAGGTGAATGGAAAGACTGTCTTACAGGCCAGACCTCCTCACTCCCAGAGCAGGCAGTGAGGTCACCACTCGACACCACGAGGCTCCACCCTCAGGAATTGGCACAGCCAGACAGGAGCCCTCGTGACACAAGGTCCCACTGTGAAACAGTACTTTCAGGTGTTCTAGTCTTGCAGTGACCAAAGGTCAGTCATGTGCGAGACTAACACGAGGCACTTAGGGCAAATGGACAAAGGCACGTGAGGAAGACAAAGCGAGAAGATCAAGACAAACCACATTATTACTACTATCCAAAGAAGACCCTAAATCTATGAGGTAGGAAGAGAATGCTTTAAAGAGGGAATAACCAGACAGTAAAAAAGCAATTATAGAAACTAAAAAAAAGCCAGGCGTGGTGGCGCACGCCTGTAATCCCAGCACTCTGGAGGCTGAGGTAGGAGGATCGCTCAAGTTCAAGACCAGCCTGGGCTACATAGTGAGTTCCGGGTCGGTCTCAACTACATAGTGAGACCCTGTCTCAAAAAAAAAAAACAAAAAAAAACAACCCCCCCCAAACAAAGAAAAATCCAGTAAGTATAGAGTATTGAAGCAATCTCAAATTAGAAAACTAAAACTAAGAGACAGAAAAAAGAAAATCAGTATACTAATTGAGATCAAACATCGTAGTATATTTTATTTTATTTATTTTTTGGGTACCAGGGATTGAACTCAGGACCTTGTTCTTGCGAGACAGGCAGTGGAACCAATGAGCTAAATCTCCAACCCATAATATATTTTAGAAAAGAGAGACAGAAAGAATATCAAATAATTCAACAAAAAATCCTAGAAAATAACAGGATCTTCCAGACTGAAAGGGATACACAGCACCTGATGTTAACAGACTCACACTAAAACATGCAACTGAAAATTGGAGAAACCGGAAAAAAAGATCCTCAAATACCGGTTGTGTAAAAGGTCAAGAATCTGAACAGCTTTAGACTTTATCAGCAAAAATACAAAGTAGAAAAAACAGTATTTTCAAAATTAGGAAAGGAACATGACTATCAATAAGATTTATAAAGCCATTTAAAAATCAAGTTGGTCAACTGCCCAAATAGCCTTTATTAAATGACCTATCATTCCTCTCTTGATTTAAAATGTCACCTTTAGTACAGATAGTTACATTTATTACTGTCTTGCTTACCTTTAACAGAAAATTTAATAGCTTTAGATGGTAATGGTCTTCCCGCATAGGTGTCTGCATTACTTTCATTCAATACCACTTGTAATTTCAAAGTGTAATTTCCCAATTTTTGAATATTTTCTGGATAAATTAAGAAGAAGGTAAAAATCAAGCCAACATACCACTGTCTGAAATTAGCAACGTGTATCTGAGCATGGGTGTGCCCGGGCCACACCCAGGGCGAGGGGCAGGGAGGCAGCACTGGGGATTGAGCCCCTGGCCTCAGCACACAAGGCACGCACTCTACCATGGGGCCGCATCTCTGGCCCGGATAGTTTTTAACATTCAGAATAACGACTCACCCATTTTTTTAAACCAATAAGGCCATTTTCCTCCATGTTGACTAATATGTGAAATGATTTCTTTATTTCCACTTGACGCTTAAAAGAAAAAAAACACACAATATTGCCTTAAGAAAATGAGCACCAAATATGAATGGAAGAAGTCACTGTGGCATTACATGCAGTTATCTCTATTTACTATAAACTTTTTAAAACTGTTGTGAAGCTTCAAAAATCTAGCACTTTAAATTATTTGTAAATAAGTTTAGTTGGCACAGATAACAGACAGAATTCTCCTTGACATTAAAAACCACTTTCCTTAAAAGTTTTCTTCAAAATTAAAATAGCACATTTTACTAGAAAGCAATCTCTAAGATCTACTGTTAGAAGAGCACGAATTATATATTGTTTAGAATTTTTTTAAAAAGTAAGATAAGCCAAACACTAATAAAGAGAAGAAAAAGCAGAAAGAAAACACAGTGAAGGGATGACATGACTTCTCTGAAACATTCCTTAATGTTCACTGTCCACTTTGGATAGTGCAAATATTTTTAAAAAACAATTAAAATAAGGCAATTCATAAATAAAACCAAACTGTTTATCAACATTAGAAAAAAGGAGGCGAGGCCAGGGATTTGGCTCAGTGGTTCCACTGCCTCACAAGCCAAGCGCAAGGGCCTGAGTTCAAACCCTAGTACAAACAAACAAAAAAAAAGAGGTGGGTGCAGCAATGCCTGCCTATAACCCAAGCTACTCTGGAAGCTGAGGCAGGAGGATCCCAAGTTCAAGGAGATCCTAAACAATTTAACAGACCCTGTCTCAAAATAAAATTTTAAAAAGGGGGCTAGAGGTATAGTTCAGTAGCAAAGCATGCATGAAGCCCTACATTCAATCCCTAATACTACGTGGGGAAAAGAAAAAGGTAATTGTTTAAATTATTTTAGACTTTTCACTATTTACATAGAGAAAAATATCTTAAAGACAAAGAAATCAAATTCAATTAAATTTTATTAGAAATACCATCAATATTATTTTGAAATTTAAATACAGTACGGGATAAAGCAAATAGGGAATTATTAACATCATGAACCAAGATGTTGGAGCTTGTCGCGAGCCGGCGACGCACAGCACTGTCTTAGGTGCTCAAACCTGAAAGAGCATCGGGCGGAGATGGGGCAAGGAGAGAAAGAAGGACGCCAAGACAGGAGTCTGATCAAGGCGACGTTTATTGCAGGCAAGCATCAGACTTTTAAAGCAAAAAACCACAAACCTAAGAGGAGGGGACATGATAATAACATAACAATCGTATCTGACCTAAGACAAGCATTAGGAAACTTCTACAGAGTCAGGACGTCATAAAACACCAGATGACTCAAAAAACTCGAAGGTTGTTAAATTTGGAAATTTCAGAGCAGCACAAAATGTCTTAGCAAGATAAGAAGAAATAGGCATAAACATAAACTATCATGGGTAATAGTAACCTTGGCAATTATAAAGGCTGGGTAACAAAGATAAGGAACTACAGTCTTAGGAAACAGAAACTTAGTCACTAAAACAGAACCTTAACTCTAAAATGGTTTCACTTAGCTTAGGATGGCAGCATTCCTGCCAGCTCGCAGGCCAGCGCCCAATAGGGGCTATAGGTATAGTTCAGTGTCACAGCATGAGCTTTCTTAGTATGTGCAAAGCCCTGAGTTCAAGTGCCAACACCAAAACAAAAAACAAAACAAAACAACAACACAAAAGGGAAATACAAGTAAAAAAAAACCCAAAATGTTAAATTAAAAACCCAAAGTACCAGTATTCAGCATGAATAGTTTTTCTGCTTTTTAGAAGTAGTCACTCCTACCTGTCAACTGAAAAAGCCAAGAAGCAGTTTCAGTGAGCAATCCTAACACTCAGACTGGAACCTTTTAAGACCACTCCATTAGCAAGAAATAGTGATAGTGGCTGAATCCGGATCCAGGGTCAAATACACATGAAGGGAATACTAGAGTATTTTAAGCAAGAAAGCTTACATCAAAGACTAAAAGGTTCATTGCAAGGACACAGGGCCCATCACAAAGGTACATCTGAAAAAATGAAGCCTGTGAAATATATAATACCTGCAAGGACACAAAAACAGAAATAATCCTCACTAGGCATTACTGTACACCACCAATCCCTGACTCTGATAACTTGCAATGAAAAAAAAAGGGGAAATTAAGCCTTTATACTGCTTTTTCCATAAAAGCTGTTTTTCAGAGTAACCAAGTGGATTGGTTGATAAAGAAAATTTCTTTAAACTCCAGATAATTAGGAAGAATGAAAGAATCAGAATGAAAAGAAAAATTCATCCTTTTGCATACCCAACAGAATACAAAAAGGACACCACGTTACTGGATGAAACTATTACACAGCAGGTGCAGGTGCTGGGGACTTCACCATTACGTTAGTCAAGGAGACTCCATGGTCTGTCCTGGCAGTACTAAAACGAGGACCACTAGTATGTGCCTCTTGATGTGATACCATAACATCACCTATGAAGATGAGTCTCGCTTTAGCAGGAAAAGTGTTAAATCTAAACCGAATCAAGGTTTTATGGCTAACTTCCATTTTTCAGGAAACAGAACAAACAGTGGCACAATTTAAATGACACCTGGTGTAATAAGAAATCTACAATCAACCCCTGATACACACCGAGGCAGTTCTAGGGCCCCACCCCCATGCTTGCACAGACCAAAATTGCAAGGTACTAGTTTTGCATTTAACTTAAGCACAACCTCCTAGGAACTTTAATCTCCTACATTACGTATGCAACCTAGTACAAAGTAAATCACATGTAAATACTTGCTATACTGTACTATGTAGGCAGTAAAGGGAAACAAGTCTATAGGTTTAGTGCAGACACAATTTCTTCTCCTCAAATATTTTTCCCCTCAGCTGTTTGGAGGCGCTGAGGGAGCCTGCAGGTAGAGGCCGGAGGAGCTGCTGCCCTCCAGTTCTTGGCAGAGGCCCTGCAGCCAGTCTGATTCTGAGTGATGGTGTGAGGAGTTCATTTTGTCATTCAAGCACTGTGAATTTATGTTAATGAGGTGACTTCTGGGAAGTATCCAGAATGGAGGGCTGGTTGCCAAGGGAACGGACCATGTGATTAGTGGGTAGCACTCTCACATGGGCTCTCCCAGCTCTGCGCAGGAGTGGGAAGAGCTGGGTTTTGAGTCACTCCTCAGTAGTCAACAAACTCATCTATCATGCCTCCATGAAAACCCAAAAGGAAGGGGCTCTAGAGTGTCTGCACCAGGAAAGCCATCAAGGTGCTAAGAGGGCGGTACGCCTGGAGAGGGCACGGAAGCGCCACATCCATCCTTCACACCCTGGCCTGTGCATCTATTTGGCTGATAAACTAGAAAACATAAGTAACATTTATTCTCCCGAAGTTCTGTGAGCCATTCTAGGAAATGATCTGAAAATTCCACGGCCCAGTCACACAAATATTATGTGACAGAACAGATTAGTCAAAGCATACAGTGAAAATATCTTAAGTGGTTAAGACAACAGATCCCAAGTTAACTGAGAAATTGGTTACGGTTGGGAGAGACGAACACTAGAAGCAGCTCTTTCCCTTGCATCAGAGAGGCCCAGGCTCATTACCAGAACCAAGTACTTTCGCCCCAGGTTCAGAGCCACAGTAGTTTTGATCTGAAAGGGACCTTGGCAGATTATCTAAATTTCTCTGCATATCTATACCACAGTTCTGAGAAAATTGAGGAAACAGTATGTTAAAAACAAAACACTTAGGAAAAAAAATAGAGAACTATCAACAACAAAAAAGAATTTTTTTTTTTTTTTCTTGTTGAGTTTATCAGTACATTTTAGGTAAAAACAGTACAGTTACATTCATCATTGGGATCTTGTACCTAAAAAATAATTATTTGTATCACACCTGAAATTCCTAACTTTAATCAGATTCAGTGTCCATCAATAATTGCACGAAAATACTCAGATTGGTATTATATTTTAACAATATTAAAGATGTGAATTAGTCTGCATACTTACAGTGTAGTATAACTTTAAGCTCAACTAGGAGTTTTTTTGACCCTCCATGACTTGTTCCTGGAAGCTTTTGCATTGCTTCCCCTTTTTTGTTGAGTATTTCAATTCTTAATGCACCTGTGAGTTGAAAATTGAGTCTTAATTACACCTAAAGAATTTGCTACATCACCACACTGCATTTTAACTTTTCATGGTGTCTTATATATTAGAAATATGATGCAAGGGCCAGGGATTTAGCTCAGTGGTTCCACTGCCTGCCTTGTAAAGTACAAGGATCCTGGTTCGATCCTCGGTACCAACAAAAAAGGCAAAACAGAAGCACGTTTTAGTATTAAGAGAAAACACCAACATACCAATGGGAGTTCCAGCAGGCCTAGTCTCATTAGGCAATAATTCATCTCCCTCAGGCCAAGTTACTGACAATCTGTCAGGGAGCCTATTACGAAAGCAGCATATTAGTATTTCATGAACTTTGTTAATGATGACCTTACTTATTAAGATCCAGAAGCTGTCAAATTCTTTTGTGGTTTTTCTATTTGTTTACAAAACATGTTACCTTTGGGATAAATTCTAAGGATAAAAAAGCCCAGTAAGAAACAAAATGATTGCATCTTTAGCTATAAAAGCAGAAGATCCAACTACAGTTTTGCTGTTCTTTTTTTTTTAATTAATCTTCACCTCTCAGAAGTTTCTACAATTTTCATGTAGTTGTCAATCAAACCAAGGTTTTTTTAATGGCTTAATCACAGTATCTACAAATATGATACTTTAGGTAAATATCTAATTTCTTTCTTTCTCTACAAATCTGGAACACTGACTTTATAACTATGTGTCTCGATATTTAACGTCAAGCCAGGTGTGATGGCACATGCCTGTAATCTCAGCACTCAGGAGGCTGAGGCAGTAGGACTGCTGAGTTTGGGGCCAGCCTGGGCTTAGTGCAAGGACGGCCTGAACTAGAGTGAGATCCTGTCTCAAAAAAACAAAAAAGAAATCCCAACAAGTAAAAAAATTCATCCGTATGCAATATTTTTAAACTACAAATGACCTTTAGAACTGTAAATGATATAATCAAGAGTTATTAAAAGCATTATAATTCCTCTTAAAATTCTATTGTCATGCTTCCTGAAATGTAAACTTACCTTGCCATTTCATCTTCTACATATTTTTTAACAGCTTTCTCAGCAACTGTCCTATCCAGTTTTGCAATTGGCACAGTTTTTATTTCATCATACAATGCCTGAGGTTCCTGAATAAAGTGAATTTATAACATTTCAAAGAAAACTTTAAATTTAGCTGCAAAAACATAGAACCCACTCGTCTCTTTCAATGGCTTCTATTTTATCTGAATTAAGCATGCTGTATAAGCTCATATACATTACATACCAGAATATTCAATGGCATACACTATACACCAGAGTATTTATTCTCATTTTTATGTAACTTCCACTAATTCTAGCAATACACCAAATAAATAACAAGAGGTGGTAAAGGAAAAAAACCTCATTGTGGTTTTGCACTTACCCTTGAGACAGTACCTATACTTATTAGTTTACAGGCCCTGGAGGAAATGTGTACTTTATAAAGTTACTGTGGAAACTAGCAATAATATATGTTTGTAAAACACTGGAGCTAGAGATAGTGGGTTCTATAATCTCCAGTACTGCCAAAAAAAATAAAGACAGAGACTCTTCTGATAAGTATTTTTATTACTTGCTGTCTTACCATTGCAATTTGAACTTCTCCTCCTGTAGCATATACTTCTCCATCGTGATCACCATACAGAAAAAATCTTACTATACTTCCATAGAAGAGGGGAAGTGTTTTGATTGTCTTGACCTAATGTTTAGATTGTTTAATACAAGAAGTCAGTAGTGATATTTACTAACAGAAACAGACTTAATAATGACTTCATAGAACTTTTATAGAAGGCAAAAACCCTTGCTATCATGAGACTCATGAAGCACTCTACTATTCTAGTAGAAGTGCATCTGTGAAGTTCTCTACTTACTCTTAAATCTCTATAAAGATACAGCAGATTCTTCACACAAGCATGTCACAGTGAATCATGTGCTTATGAACTTGACAAGTTAACACGTTTCTTAAATAAACTATCTTAAAACTTGTATAAGATTTTTTTTTGCCTTAAAAAAAAAATCTAAGGGTAATATTTCCATTAATCCAATTCCGAACTCCCCAAAACAGACTCCAAGAGTTTATTACCCACTCTACCTTCTCCTTACACACACCACTAGGCTACAGGACAACCCAACTCTCACCGCCTGCTATTTCCCTGGACACCTATGCCTGCCCTCAAGGGGCTTCCTCAGCCACCACAGCATTTCACAGATGTGGCTGCTCTCTCCTCCTGCAACTCTCCCCTTGGCTTCAGGATCGCTTCCATCTTGCTGCCCACCCTCTGTGTCCTCTGTGAGGCCCTGTCATTCTAATCCTACATGTCAGGAAAGCCCCAGGCTCAGTCCTTGGCCTCTGTAGCTATATTCACGACTTCTAAGTGACCTCATCCGATTCCTGGTGTTAAGTATTTGATGCTGTTCCTCACATTTTGGGGAAAATGGATGGGCGTCCTTTGTCTGTAATTATCTGGGTTGACCAAGACCACTTCTCTCAGGGCTGACACAACTGCCGTTCCTTATCCAAGCCCAAACACTATCCAGTCAGAAAACGCACCCCTCTCTTAAAAGCACCAACCAACCTATTTCCTTACGTTTCATTATGATGTTTACATGACATCCACTTTAGGCTAAAATTTGCTAAGAACAAAGCAATTTCCTAACTTTCAGCATTCTCCACAATATAGGAAAAGGGCACAGCATTTTGGCAGAACTCAACGATAAAGGCTAAGAAGTCATTTTCACAACACGTTAAAAAAGAAAACATGGGAATCTCCATGTGTCTTTGGCAATAAATGGGTTTGTAAAAAATGCTATAATAAATCATGTAACCAAAATAACTGTGCTTTTCATTCTTTATTGCTCCTTAGGAGCTAACACATGTATTATATATTGTTATTAAATTCTAATACATCTAACTTAGTTTCAAATTTTACCAGACACTGAATCTGAAAACAAGTTAAACCTACCAACTGTCCTGCTTTGTATATTTTTCCATCCCATTCTATTGCCGAGTATGTTGCCCAGGGGCCTTGCTTTTTAGACGGAAGATCCGGACGTGTAATTACTCCTTTAAAAAGTGTAAATTTTATTTGTTTGTCATATTTTTCATGACAGTCCTTCAGCCATAAAGCAAATTCTCTGTCAATTTTCATTCGTATTTCCTGTAAAAATTTTAAACATTCTATGAAATACAGCGACATGTAAACAACAAGACACAGACACCTGCTATTCATTTTATTTTTCCTTCCATATACTGTATCTCAGAAAACCTAGTTAAATAATATTTTTCTGTATCTGCTCCCATACATACTTAGATTTCAAACAAAAGCATTATTAAGAAATCTTTGCTATTCCTGGGTGTGCTAGTATGTAAGCCCAGCGCTCTGGGGGGCTGAGGCAGGAGGATCATAAGCTTGAGCTTAGCCTAGGCAACTGAACAACTTAACAAGACCCTGTCTCAAAATAAAAAGATTTTTAAAACGACAGACATGTAGCTCAGTGCAAATGCCCTGGTTTCACTCCCCAGTGCTAAAAAATATACAAAAATAACAACTTTGATATCATCCTTGGAACCAAGGTCGCAATAGCTAACGCCAGTAACAAAACGTTCTTCCTACGTTAAACCTTAGGCTACTCTGAAAAAGCGATGAGTACTGGCCCCCCGCAGTACTGTTCTGCAAGGCTTTTCCCCAGTACTGGGTCCTGACCCAGAGCTTCGTGCACAGAAGGCAAGTGCTACACCTCTGAGGTACGGACCCTTATTTTTCTCTATTCCAAAATTAAATTATTTTCTAGTAATTAAAAAAGGTGATCTATTTATGCCAATCACTCTTCATCCTGAAGACAGGGAATATAGATATTAATATGCAAGCCTAGGCCGCTACACTCTTGACGCCTGTCTGTAGAACCAAGCAGGAAGATACCTCCCCATCACACGCTTTCAGAGGACAATCCATAGGTTCCGAAGCTTCTTCCTTTCCTCCTGCATATCTGATACCTTATTAAACCATTTCCAGCGGAAAAATGAGACAAAACTGGAAATGATTTCACCTAAATACTTTACAGCTTGCAGTTGAAAGGCTATCAGTCACAAACAACATTTGATTTTAAAGTTACCTGAATATGACATGCATGTACACTGTAAAAAACTCAGAGGTTGAAGATGGAACATATTTTCAAGGAAATCTGTCCCCCATCTACTTCCTCAACTACTAACTTTTCCAAATCAGCAAGTCATTGCTGTCAGTCTGAGAAGCAGACGTGGATACTAAAATCATTAACTAGAAATGGGGGAGTCTGCCTAGCAAATTCTTAACCCATGTTTCGAAGCTCCCAGGATTTACCATCAACCAAACGAACTAACAGGTGCATGAATGAAAAGTGAGTGCAGAACATAATGGGTGCAGAAGAGTGACAGTTAAGCAGGAGAGGGTTATGTGGCCATTCATCCTATTAGTCTTAAACATTTTACATGTTCCGTGTGCTCATCTTCAAACCTGGGGCCTCACACATGCTCTGAGTAATACCCACCATCCCCCTAGATAACTCTTTATCTTAATATGCTATAATTCAAATCTTTGTAACAGTAATTTCAAAATATTATAAGAATTACTGTGCTACATGTTATACTTATTGCTTAGTAATCTTAAATTAATGATAAAAATCTCCTATCTCTTGGCAACTAAACATTAAGCACCTGAAAGATTAATATCAACTAAAAGTATCGGAAGTATGTGGGAAGAAAAGTACTCTAGGCTCGATCAACTTGTTACAAATTTTCTTTACAATGGAAGCATCTTTGTATAATACTGTTTCAACACTGAAAGCCTCTTTCAATACTGGCCAATCTCCATCTTTTAGATCAAAACGTTTCAATAGTCTACCCCATTTATACCACAAGGCTATTTACGCTATTGTGCAGAGCTCATGAAGTATATGCAATTGTTGACATATGTTCTCATTAAGCAAAGATGTTTCTGAGGCTTCCACTCACTATGTCAAAAATCTTGATATTAAGATCTAATACAAAGGGCCGGGGAAGTAGCTCAGCAGCACTGCGCCTACCTGACAAGCACAAGGTCCTGAGTTTGATCCCCAGTACCAGGGAGAGAGAAAACAAAAAAAAACAACCAACCAAAAAACCATACAGATAAATTTTAGCCAGTCTAATCAGCTTGAAATTTTTAAGTACTATGAATAGTTGAAAACTCATTTAAAAACATTAAAACATTTAAAAAATTTGATATTTTTGGCTTTTTGAGACAGGGTCTATGTGTTCAGGCTGGCCTCAAACTCATAGTGATCCTCCTGTCCTTAATTTTTAATTTTTTTGGAGATAGAGTCTCCCTATGTAGCTCGGGCTGCCCTTAAACTCATTATGTAGTCCTGGCTGGCCTCAAACTCATGGAGATCCTCCCGCCCCAGCCTCCCAAGTGCTGGACTTATAGGCATGTACCCAGCTTACCCAGCAAATTTTTTATTTTTAATTGATACACAAAGACATAAAAGTTGTACATATCAGTGGGGTGTCATGTCACGTCTGATAACACTGCATAATGTTTAAAGGTTAAACACATTCATCTCTTTAAACATTTCTTAACTCTCTAAACATTTTACATTTACATTTCTTTAAATAATTCCATCATAATCCCTTGATTAAATAATTCAGAGTATACAAAATACCAGTAAAAACCTACACTTCTAGCATCTTTGGTTTTACTTAAAACATCTGCAAATACTCAAAACTCGATACTGAAAGCCATACCTGTCCATTTAAAATCCTTGTAAAAAGGGTGTTCTTGTCTTTCAGTTTTAGCTCAAGGTCCATGAAGGTCAGTTTATTTGTGCTGACTTGAAATTTGTCATTAGTGAACAAAGCGCCGGATATTCTGTTGTAGCATTCAATTGGCGCAAGCCCTCTCTTCTTAGGAGGAGTGCACCAGTCAAAGCTGGAACACAAGATGCCAGTTAGCAACAAGATTGGGTTACAAAACAATGTATTTTTAGCAAAAATCAAAACTTACTCTTCAACTGATGTATATGGTATTAATCGTCCATTCCAAAAACATTCAAAAATAGGTCTTTTCCCTCTTGCTGCTTTCTCAAGTATGAAACAATCATCATCATCATCATCATCTTTTAGTCCTATGTCAAAGGGGTAGATTGAACAAAATGTTTATTCTCATAAGGCAGCAATTATTACCAAGAAGTCAGTTTGTAGAACAGCGGTGATGTATTACAAGTGCTTCAGTAAAATCGGAACACAAAAACACGTGTGATCCTTTTAAAGCCTAAAGTTAGCTTCACTGTTAGCCCTCAAAGTGGAAGATTTCTGAAGTGGTTTCACACCCTCGCAGTGTTTGTTGTTTAAAGTCAATACCTAATTATATACTAATCAGCCTGTGCTGAGAGTGCCAGGCTGGCTGATAAGCTGAGACCTTTCAGGCTACTTACAGAGTTAGAGTCACACATCTGACAAAGATTATGTCCTAGAGCAAAAGGCCTCTCCCTACAAATGCAGGCGCTGAGTCCCGTTTCTAAAACATGGTTTAGAAATTCTGTAGAACAAGTACACATGAAAAATCATGTGAAAGACTACAAGTATTTAGTAGCAGCAAGTTTGCCTAGTTTGGACCAATTAGTCAATAATACTGAATTTAATTTTACATAAACAATTACACTGTTGAAGATTAGATATAGATAGGTATGAGATTTGTGTACAAAAATGATACCACGCATCAAAACCATAATTAGCAGAATTATCTGTAAATTATTGTGTTTCTTAGCAATATGTTCATTTATGCCCAGATTAATTAAGACCAAACATTAGGAGTCTAATATATTAGCTCCTTAGTTGTCCCGGCAGTAAGCCATCCACCTAAAGGAAAGCTTTCTTCTTAGAATTAATTAAAGCCCTCATTACAAGTCCCTATGTGTCAGTTTCTTTCAATCAAACCATGTCACTTGGCTCTTCGAGAACTCCTCTGATCATCACTCAGTTCATCGGCTCTTATTTTTAAGGCATTACTTGATGACTAGTATCTTTTTATGTAAAAGCACACAGAAATCAGAAACAGCAAATCAAGTCAGGTCAGGGACACCACCAGAGGCACCAGCACCGAGTCGTATGTGCTGAGCAGCACCCTATGGCCCTGCCTGTTTCTCCGAGAGCCCTCACAGCTCCTTTCCCCAGCGAGCAGGTTAAGGCAAAGAGGAGTTCATCCAAAATGACGCAATAGAAGGTGACAAAGATGGGATTCAGATCAGGAACTCTGGCTGCAGGACCCAGAAAACTAAGCACACACTGAAGAACTGGAGATGAGAATACCTAACACTGCTAATTTATCAATTCAGTGTGATACTAATAATCCCACAAGCTATTTTCCTTTAAGTGAATGACCACTGCATGGAAAATATTACATTAAATCCCTACCTTACTGTCCATACAAAAGAGGAAAATGGTGATGCAGTCCACATAAAATGACAAAAAATTTAAAAGATCACAAAACCCACAGGATCTTTAAAAAAATGTAAAGTCTAGAAAGTAATTCTATACCAAGACGAAATCAAAATATGAAGAAAAATGGACAGACATGACTACATGTAGTGTAAACTTTTTAATGAATATTTACAAAGGGAACAGAATTTGGGGAAATATATAAAGGATTAACACACAAAGATGAATACCAAAAACAAGTAGTTTCTTATAGGCAGTGTTCCTTAAAAATATGGAACACAAAAATCACAAATACCAAACAAGACTTGCATAAGAAAAGAAGTTTATATTTAATTATCTTAACTTAAGAGTCCAATTGGAAATCATTACTTTGAATACAACCAGTATTCTAAACCACAACATCACATTTGTAGCTAAGAGGACAAGTTAACATACTTGAGGGAAAGCACGGATCATCAGGGTAAGTTTCTTTATCATATAAGAAAGGATGGTATCGGATAATGCCTTCCACTACTCCATCTCCTTCAACATGAGCTTTGAACTCAAAGCTATCAGATGCTGTGTTGATATACAATGTCTGCATGTCATCTTGTATTTCCCTTAGGTTGACAATCTTAGGTGCCTTCCCTTTTTCAAACATAGAAATCTAAAATAAAAATAAAACAATAATAAAATTCGGTGGTGACTTTACTTTTCTCAGCATGATCCAACAGCAGAATAGGTGAAAAGTATCTTTATTAATAATTACCTACTCACAAATGCAAGGAGCTGAGTTCGATCCCTGGTACAAAAAAAAAAAATTACCTAGCTTAATGAAATATATACATTTATATATGGGTTGAACAGGTATATGTAGCATCTCTGTAAGGAACACAATACTAAAAAAGTAAGCAAAGAAATAGCAAATTAGCCAGGTGTGGTAGCACATGCCTATAATCCCAGTACTTGAGAGGCTGAGGCAGGAGGGTCACCTCGAGTCCTCAAGTTTGAGGCCAGCCTGAGCTACATAGTGAGTTCAAGGCCAGCCTGGAGTACATAGCGATACCCTATCAAAAAAAGAAAAGTGGGGGGAAACAAATCAGACGAAGAGGACAGATAAGTGTTGTGAACTTTTAATTCAAGGTTTCAACATTCTAAGTGAAATTCTAATGCGTGGACAAGATTGAGACCCCCAAAACTGAAATGTTCTGTGCTTCAAAAATCTCACAAGACTTAAAGGAAAACTGATTGACTGACATGCATACACACACACACACACACACACACACACACACACACACACAATTTTTTTTTCCTCCTCTTTTAGAGATACAATGACCAACATCAATCTGTATCTCTATAGGACAGGAACAAGAGAAACCAAATACCATGGAAAAAGTTAAAAAAAAAAATAAACTATCTAGGAATGATGTCTTTATTTGGATACCAAATAACTGAAGTACTTTGGTTACACACACAGGAGAGAGAAGTTGTCTCATTTTGGTCTCATTTTTTTATTCAGTCATTTGGGACTGGTACAGTTACCTAATCATTTATATTTGTTATAGCTTAAATTGGATTTTTAATCTTACTTCGATATCAATGTTGTTGAAAGGTCCAACTTCTTTTGACGTATGTATTTCATTTCCTTTTGGTCCATGAATATAGTAATGATAAATATGCCTAGAAAAAGAATAACTTTATACTTTCAATTCACATGAAATTATAGTTTGTAAAATCTTCTACCAAACAAATTTTCAGAGTTCTATTTGACAGCACTTACTAGGTGCCAAGCCCTTCATCAGACTTGCTTTGATGCTGGAGATCAAAGCCACGCTCTGAAAGTACATTCTGAGCCAACCCCACCCTCTGAAGTTTTGAATACAGTAACCCAACGTTAAAAACAATCTGAAACGCAGATGTTACTACATCTCACTTTGTAGATACAAAAACTGGGGGGGCATGAAGTGCAGGTTAAATTATAAGGTCACAGAACTAGTTAGGAGAAGGTACCATCCAAGCCTTTCCAATTTCAAAACCCACATACTCTGTACTGCCATGAAGTAGGGTTTGTCAAACAAATACAAATCAGAAGGCAAGAGTCTGTATCTCTACTTGTCAAAGATACTCTAAAAGTACTCAAGTGGGACTAGACCAAATTGTGTATCTTGAAATAATCTCAGCGTGAGAATATTCTAGAACTTTCATATTCTTTATGGCACTGAAACAATCTTATCTCAATGTTCCAAAACACAAAACTAAATTCAACAATGTCCCACTTAAAACCACCATTTCAGCAATCACTGCTACTTTATTTTTTAAGTTAAATGAATTTTGGTTTAAGATTAATTAAAATATGTCTTTAATTAGCCTAGTGGTTCCACCCCCCAAAAGGGTAAAATTTCATATATATTAAAGAATAATTAAACTTATTATCCTAGCAACTCTATAATGTACCAGTGATGCCAGGGATGGTGGCACAAAGCACTCTGCGAGACTGAGGCAGAAGAATGGCAAGCTCTGAGCCTAGTCTGGGAATCACAGCAACTTAGTGAGACCCTGTGTCAAAATAAAAAAGTCTGGAGATACACTCCAGTGTGAAGGCGCTGAGTTCAATCTCCAGTACAAAAAAGGGGGATTTAAAAAAAAAGAAACATGAACATTGTACAGATGTACCAACTTCACAAAACTCAGTAATTCAGATGATGAACATTATGGAAACAGCCCCGTAAATGATATGTATCCTATAGACATAGAGAAAAACTTACAGCCATACACATCTTCTGATTCAGCCTAGTGGGATATATACACATATAGCCCCATTTTACTGGAATAAACACACAATGACTTCAGTATTACTGAATGATATATTATTTTAATGGACATGGCGTATTCATGTGATAAACATCTGTTCAGCATTTACTATACAGCAGCGATTTTTCTAGACAAGGAAGATGCAGTGAGGAATTAAAAGACACAATGGGGAAGGCAGGCACAAAAGCGTACGGAAGATTCTAACAGATACTACAGAAAAGCAGCACACAACACGGGCATGGCAGTAACGTGAGTCTGATCAATTAGGAAGTTCGTTTTTCATTTTATAATAGGTGTCAAAGATCAGGTGATCTACAATATTTATAGAATAAATGGATAGAAAACCCTTTTAACTCCAGCATCAGAACAGTGGACACTGTGCAAAAGGGAAGAAAACTAGACAAAAATGATACCTAAGTGGCTTCAGCATTATCTGTAACACTTTGTCTTTAAAAAGATACATAGCAACACTTCATGAACCAAATATAATTACTTACGCTAACTGTCGAGTCCAAAGATGGAAGTAATTTTTTAGGTACTGTATATGTTCTGGCTGTACCCCTGTTATAACCACCGCAGTAAAGCTATCTTTTTCCTTCTCCTCTAAGATCAGATTATGTAGAAATCGTTCATCATCATTTGTGATATGAACAGAATCAGATGGCTACAAGAGCGAATATAAATACAACAGATTATATCATGTAAATTACAATTATAAAATTTATCATTACATTAAATTCTAATGCGACTCGTTGATTAGGTTGCAGACACAATCTTCAGAATAATGTGGAGGAAACTGTCCCAGTACAACAAACTAGGTGAGTATGTGACGAGGCTGTAAGGATGGGAAACTTTTCACATAGACAACTAAATTAGCACACATAAAAACACCTATCTCACAATGCTAAGCCAATTTTATAGGCTCATAAAGAAAAAGGTAAGACAAATACTGAGTTTTAAAATGCCTTAAAAAAAACAAAGGCACTAACCCCAAGATGAAATTTTTTGCTTGGGAAACCTACCACGGGACTGAGTCAGGACCACGGCCCAGCCCTCCATGATAAAGACAATTAGGGGGCAGCTGGATCCATGGGTTTAGCCCAAATACATTGCGTTTAAGAAGCAACAACATCATGGGCACCAGGCCACTTTTGGAGACTCCTGAGAGCTTGTGCAAGCGAAGGGAGAAGGTCTGAGGGTTAAATGTTACAGGTACCAGTGTGCATGACCACACATACTGTGCATGCTTCTACATACACAGAAACATGTTAAGTATAAACATTAAACTAGTATCTCAAGGAAACTGGTTGTTTTATTAAAATAAGAGCAATGGCAAAGTCAACAAACAAAAGTTGGAAAGAAGTATTCTGGAAAAGAAAGAGATCCTGTATCTACTGGTATCTATGAAATGCCTACTAGGACAAGTTTAGCACAAAACATAGAAAAAAATGCAGAGAAAACACGATCCAGATACCCCAGCTCCACCCAGGCTGCATACAATGCACAGTCTGACTCAAATTCCCAATTCCTATCTTCTACCTGTTTGAACAGAGGAGGTAGTACATTGACCAATGTATTTATAGGGCTTTCTGATGGATGGCTCAAGAGGATAAAAAAGATGGAACAATTATGTAAATTTTTTAGAATATATAATTTGTTAAACAAGTGCAATAAGTTTGAAACAGAAAAGTGGATAAGCAAAATTGAGAAAATTCTTGGACAGAAAGAATGTAAGTTTAGAGAAAATAAAAGTGGCTAAAAAACATGCCAAAAAAGTTCAGCCAACTAGTACCGAAAGGAAAGGTATTAAATTGGCAACGTTTTGCTACCTGTGTGCCTTCTCATTTTTTTCTATGAACAAAGAAATGAACAGAGGCAACTCAATACACAGCTGTTGGAAATCTATGTGATTTTGTTTTTTAGTTTTTTTAGTTTAGCCTTTCGGGCAAGCAATTTTTAATGCACACTATGAATGTTTAAAAAGTTCAAATTCATTGTCAGTTATTAAAATGCTAACAATCTATTTTAAAAATCAGTAATTCTGAAAAAAAAATCTGTAATTCTGCCAGACATGGTAGTACAAGCCTGTAATCCCAGCACCTGGAAGGCTAAGAAAGGAGGATCTTGAGTTCAAGGCAAGCTCAGACTACATAGCACATTTGAAATGAGACCCAGCCCCAAAACAAAACAAAACAAAACCAAAAAAGCCATTTATATTTTTTTAAATGTGTAATTCAGGAAAAATGTTATACAAAGATATTCATAATCTTTTAAATATGCTAAATGCTCACAAATTAACAGTCTTCAAAAGGAATACTCTATAGCTAGTAAAAATGCAATGCATACTAAAGTATTTTATAAAATTGGAAAATACTCAAAATGTTAATTTAAAGCCGGGCGTGGTGGTGCACACCTATAATCCCAGCACTCAGGAGGCTGAGGCGGGAGGATCACTGTGAGTTCGAGACCAGCCTGGGCTACATAGTGAGTTCCAGGTCAGTCTCAACTACATAGTGAGACCTTGTCTCAAAAAAAAGTTAATTTAAGAAAAGTGGAGTAAAAACTGAGGGGCGGGGGGGAAGATCAGATGGAAATCCACCAAAATGTTATCAGCACTTTTCTCTGGCACCTAGGAGTATTTTTATTTTCTTTATATTTTCCTATCAAGAAATTTCCATGATTTGTTTAAAATCAGCTTTTTTTTTTTTTTTTTTTTTG